GCAGCACATGCACATGTGAATACTTAGCCGTCAAACATCTCAAAAAAGCAAGTGTTGCAAAACTGTCAGTTCCCGTGGTGAGGCCCGGCGGCCGTTGTGGCAGTTAATTCGGTGGATGTGGAGGTGACTTCCAGTGGAGTTCCTGTGAAAGGTGGTGAGGTCAGTTACTGCTTGCACGATGAGACAGCGCCCCAATGATGGGGATCACACTCAGCACCCGAGTGGGACGGCTGAGCGAAACACACTCTGACAATTGTATTCAGTTAACTCAGTTCCCCAAGGAAAGGAATGGCTCAACGGTGAGGCGAGGAGTCCGATCAATTGTAGATGTTTGAACAAGTGGTTTGTGCGCATCTGCAGACTCGCGACAGCAGCGGACGAAACGGCGGCGCAGCTGCTGGAGAAGAGTAGGTTTGGGGGAAGTATCGTGAACCACCATGGAAACAAAACAGGGAATTGGACAGCTTGTGCAAAAGTTGTGTGGCAGGTACACACCAAAGCGTCCTTTGGTGCTTCCCCTCCAGCGACTTAGCTTCGTTGGGCAAGGTTCGTCGCCGGAGGCCTCGCCCCCCTGCATTCAAAACTCTTAGTTACAGAGGTTAGAGGTGGAACCCTTAGATACAGGGGGTGACACACACACACCATATACCGTAAATACAAAAATTTATTCGGTGGTGTCACTGGTGTCACCCTCCAATGTTTTCTCTACCCGTCCCACAGCAGGACTACCTTCAGAGCATCGCTTTGGAGAAGACCCTTGTGGCAGCGGCCGAGGGGCTCAAGACGTCGCCAGACGCGCGCGGCGGCTTCGACCAGATGGCCATCGACTGCATCGCTCAGGAGACACGTGATGATATATGGGATGATACGAGCGATCCAAGTAACGGGGACAGGGAAACCCAAAGAACCTACTTAAAGGGTACAGGTACATGGGACTCTAGTTCCCTATTTCCTAGTCCTAGTACATTGGATACATGTTGTTTCTAGTTCAGGGATGCCGCTACAGTTGGGCCAGTTGGGTCGCAGAAGGTTCTCACTGATCTTTGGACCAAGGCCGATGTGGAGAGAAGCGAGCGTTCCAGAGCTTATGGCAGTTGCGGCCACGGTTGTCCACTATCTCGAATGTCATAATCATGTAATATGCCCGCCACTGCCTGGGGTATCAAATGGGTCAATCCTTGGTAAATCAAACTGTGAATTCATTGGTCTCTTTATTTTCATAGGAGATTTGCAGTATTGTGCACTTTTGAGGGAAATCATAAATCACTTCAACAGACCTATTTTGTAGCCCAAAGTGGCAGGAGCTGGGCGAAAAAATGAAGGCTTTGGAGGACGGGCGTGCGAAACGTGTCCTTGTGGCCAACCGACGTTTGGGATCTATACAGTCTATACATGATCACACGAAAGTGGATGCTTGCATTTGAAGGAAGGCCCAGGTTGACAAGCTTCAACAGGCACTTGCAAGTTCAAACTACTTGTTCACATGGCTCAACTGGAGTTTTTGTCCAGACCTTCCGAAGGGTCAGAGCAGGAGCAGCTGCTGCATCGAGCACCGGCAGAGAGGCAGCTTGAAGCCTCACTTTTGGGGCTGCAAGCGCTCGCTGATGTTTGCGACTTGTTCAGAAGTGGGGAACCAACTTGCTGTTCCACCCCGCACTAGGCGAGCAGGCGTTTTTTCTTTCAAGCCCCATTGGTTGGCCGAGAGCATAGTTATTGTCCACGCCATTTTGAGCTCAAACTTTGTTTTTTTTGCAGTCAGCTGGACCAAACTGGCACCATCGGAAATCAGTTCTCCTCCAATTGGTAAGCCTTATCCACTGAAATCCCGGAAATGGACACAAGCTGCGCACAAAGACCTGGTCTTTTGCCCAGCAGCAACCCTAGACCAATCTAGAAATCCCAAAGAAACGGACTTGAACGGTGGAGGTGCTTTCTGCATTTCACAAAGACTTTTGGGGGTCGTACTTCCACAAGCACGACCACGGTCAGAGCTTTTCTTCCGTGGTTTGCGCACCAAAACGCGTCTGAATATAGCAACAAGAGTAGCAACAAGTTGCAAAACTTTGACCTGGAGGCTGTGCATTGCTACTTTGGGGATGATGAACTTTGACACATCAGCTCCAAAAGTTGATTCTACATCAGCTCCCAGGTGACCAGAAGGCACAAGCAGCCCTTGCAGCACATCAACTGGTTGAAGAGAAGATGAAGGGTTTCACCAGCAGCATCAAGGCCGTGGGGCCCCCGTGGGGCTTCGGAACTGATCTTCGGATCTGCCGCCGCAGCTTTTGGGTCAGCCACCTGGTGCGAAGACCTGTCGTGCGATCCTGTTCATTGGGTGGAAAGTGATGAGCCCAGCTAAACCACCAGCAACAGAGTGGGCTCCTCATGCCTTCTTTTCTATGACTACCTTATAGTAACGTAACTATATCGAGTGATGTTTTCATTTGGATAAGACGGAAGGGGTTCCCAGTCCAGATCAACGAGATCTCAGGTCTCAGGTGGTCCCAGCTGGTCTCAGGTCTCACCGACACGGAGGACACGGGTCCAGTCCGCACGTCGTGACACTGTGCTTGGGACTGGGCCTAGGGTTGTTGATGGCATGAAAGGATAGGCTGAACAGCTCGTGATACAGAGGCGGTTTTCCTTTTTTGTGCCCCTGGATCTAAATCTATGTATACACAGAAGCTCCTCCAACCAGAAGGAAGTTGCTGGCCCCAGTGGAAGACTGCATGACTCTTCCACATTGGGATCGATGGAAAAGGTTATTGGTGAATTTGAAAGATGCAAACTGTTTCCATGGACACCCTTGGACAGTGCCATTTTCCCGGACCCCATAACGGGGCAGGCACTGAAGCAGCAAGTCGTGAAGCACGCGAAGCAGCTGGAGAGCTCGACCGAACGCTTGAAAGCAGAGCAGGCAGAGAGAGAGAGAGAGATGAAGACACCGGAGATCTCAACGAACGCGCTCCGCTCTGCTTCTGAGCTGCAACCTACCCGAAGCCGGTCGGACGCACCGGGGGTTGCCGTGCGTGGCGGATCGGCAGGTGAAGGTCTCCGCCTTTCAGGAGGCCACAGCGGCACTGGAGCACCTCCGGGCGGAAGCGGAGGCGCAAACGCGGTGTGCGCGTTGTGTTCGTGGGGAAGGATGGAGATTTCGAAGGTGGAGAGAGAGAGAGAGAGAGTTCCAGACTTCTAGACCCTGAGTATTCTAGAAAGACCCAGTCCAAGAGAGAGAGAGAGAGAGAGAGTTAGAAGTTGGAAACCACTGGTTCTTTCAAGGTGTGAACATGGTCGAACATAAATTAGTCATTACATGTCATTAGTCCTTCAGGATGGATCTTGTGATCCACTTAAACGTCCTTCAGGGTTTTAGGAGACAGCTTGCCGCGAGTCAGCAAGTAGCTCTTTGTTTCTTCAGGATGCGCGTGAGAGGTGCGTCCTAGTTACGAACCAAAACCCAAGGAGTAAAACTATGAAGGTTGTTTTCTTTTGCATGCAACATGTGTTGCGTTTGTGTTTTTGTTCATTATCTTTTCTTCATCCTTGCCCTACAACGGACAGTGACTCGCAGGCACCCGCCACGCAGCCGGCGCCAGTGCCCGAGCCGCTCACCGAGCCAGTTGCAATGGACACAGCCTCACCCACTGCTGAGGGCGAAGTGCCTCCAGCGAAGCGCCTTCGCATGGAAGGCGCACCGCTTCCGCCTGCGCTGGTGGCGAGCCCTGCGCGCATCCGCAGCTGAGAGCGAGGGACATGAGCCGAGCTTGTAAGGAAGAGTTGGAGATATCCAGGGGAGACAGGGAAGTGGAAAAGGTTCCTTCTTGGAGAATACATCATAGAAACCCTGGAGAGGGACAATAAACAACGAGGGGACAGAGTAGGAGCTGCTACAGTACATGGAAAGAGTGTTTCATGATGTTTGATGACCAAGTAAGAAATCCCTGGAAGCGGGAGAGGCAATGTGGGAGCTGCTTGCCCCGCAGGTGGCAAGAGTGCCCTCCCTTGCTTTGCTTTGATGTTTTCCCTTGCAGGCGATCTTTCGAAGATAGTACCATACTCGCCAGGGGTTTTCTGTAAATCTCATCCATGCACCAAATTCAGGTCTCACGAGCCGACCGTCCATTATTGCGCATTTGGGGGAAAAAGAGCGCAGCTGTGCCAGGAGGACCCGAGCATTGGAAGATCAGTCTCCTGCTTGACAGGGTTCTTGATGTATCCTGATGTTTCTAGTATTTTTTGTATGATGTTGTGTTGGCGGTAACCTGGAATGCCAGCTTCCGTTTGGTTGTTCCATGTTTTTGGGTGCGGCTGACTCTTTGCCAACTTCTTCCAAGAGTTTTGCCTGCGAACTCGGAGCATGTTTGCCAAACAAAGTTGGGTGAGCTTGCTTTCCACTCAGGCGTGGCCTGCCAAACCTGTCCGCATGACACAACTCCTCCGGACCCCATGACCTGTCCGCTCAATCCCTATGCCACGCTAAGGGGGCCACCAAAGACACTGAGCTGCACATGTGACCGCACTCCCACTGGTGTCATCCACTTGAAGAAGGATGTATAAGAAGACATTCAGGTTCGGAAAAGGCCGGAAAACCTTGTTTCAGGGGTTGTGTTGGCCACAACACTTGGAACATGTTTGCAAGTCCTTGTTCTTTGTGGCTTGCTATTTGGGGTGTCGGCCAGGACATAGTAAAATTTGCAATGAGCACGGACATGCAAAGAGACCGATATCATGACTTTTGTGCGTCATCCGGTCTTAAAATCTTAGAAGACAACCTACACAGGAGCTAGCAATTTTGGCAGTGGCGTGTGCGTAGCCCGCCATGTTCTTTTGTGTTTCATCTCGAACTCCCACATGCCATTCGTCATGCGACGTGCTAGCATCCCTTGTGTCCAACTTTGTTTGTTTGACTTTTTGCTTTTTGGATTGGAGCTGGCAATGCCATTGAACACATGATCCGTCCATCGGGCTGTATTTTGCGTTGCCAACTTTGTGTTTATAGTGATTAGGCTGTAATTTAGGGCTGTCCGACACGCGTTGTTTAATAGCAGTATATAGCATCCGACAAAATTTAATATGTAAGAGGCCCCCTTGTGCTTTTGAGAGGTGAAGAAATCCTTGGCCCCTATGACGACCCAGCACCGATACCCTTATACCGTACACCTACCAAGTTAGCATTGGTCGGTACTTTGATGGCTGCGCATTGGAATCCAAGGTGCTTTTCAATAGGAGCAGTTCTGAACCTGAGTGGGTTATATGGTAAGGGCATGTAAGGGCTATCACACCATTGTCAAGTGAATTTGCCGTGCTGAAAACAAATGTATTGCCTTGGGTCTCTTGAATCTGCCGTGCTGAAAACAAATGTATTGCCTTGGGTCTCTGGAATCTTTGTGGATTGTGAGGGGGCTCTCACAGACAGCTCAACAGATACTAACCGATACCCTTTTTTGCAGGTTCACATGCTTTGTTCGATTTGATCATTGTGGGTGCCCACGCAGGTCTCTCATGTTTACAGCTTGCCAGAAGCTGAGAAGCAGACATGGATACAAGGCCAACCAACAAGGACTGGAAACGCAGCAGGCACCCGCACACACTGAAGAGAGCACACCAAGAACCTTTGCAAGCACACCAAGCCACAGCCCTGCTGTTTGCTTCCACAAGCCTCTCACATGGTACAGATATGGCTTCAGGCCCCGAACTGGAAACACAACCACACAGTAAACAGAGTGCAACATGGACATGGACAACCGATATTTCACAAATGCACCATCATGACATCACACTTCAAATGCCCAAATTCTCACAACCGATAGGGGACGACCCAGTTTGACATATGGCATGCGGCATATTGGATGAATAAATAATTTTGTCCGCACCTCGTATAATTTACATGTATTTGTTTGTGTGTGTGTTTTGTTGATAGGTGCCCGGCACTCGGGATCATACAAAAAACGGCAAGAGTCAAGAGAGCATCATCGCAACTAGGAAGCCAACAGAAAAAAAAATATACCGACCTGAGCATGTCAGCGACGTCTAGTACTGTAGGATGAATTGCACACATCTACCAAGGTCTTTTCGGATTCGAACCAGTCACTCTAGTTCGGGCCACCCACCCGGCTGGCATCCCGGTTTGCCCGGTCCGCCGTTTGCCCAGGGTGAGGTTGAGAGCGTGTTTGCACGCATCGGAGAAGTACAGCAAGTGCCGGGATGCCTGGAAATGAAGGATTTTGGGCCTCCAGATGCTATAGAAGCTTTGATGATTGACGGAAGCGTGGTCAGGTGGCCGCTAGAGAACAGAATTTTGCGGATTTGCTAAAATGTGAACATTTGGCTCAGTGGCTTCGGTTTGGGATAGGTGACATGTTGAAACCCCACATGCCTGGCCAAGGCGCTTTTCGAGTTCAGGCGCAGGAGGTGCGTGAGCGCCGAGTTTGATGAGAGGGTGGGCCAACCCACGAAGTACTAAGTGCCATGCCGCCTGGGAATAAGCATCCGCAAACATCCTTGTGACCAATAGAAAATCGTAGACTGTAGGCCTGTGGTTAGGTGCGTTCAAAAAATTCATCTACAAGAAAGTCTGCACTTGGTTTGGGTACCGGGTCGCAGGCTCAATAAATCGCTTGGCGTGGTACCGAAAGTCCAGCAAAATTGGTGCTTGCAGTGGCAGGTCCTTCACATTTTGTCCATGGTGTTCATCCTTCACATCTTGTTCTTCATTGTGGCAGCTCCTGAAAACATGTCGAAACAATTAATTAGTGCGATCCAAGTTTCATGACTTGATCCGCAGCCAATTCATACTCCAATTCATTTCAGGATATAATTCTTGCACTACAAGGATGCTTTCCTCGGGCAGGGACGGGTTAGAGGTGGTAGGAATTGAAATTTGTCAGTAGGGCGAAGCTGAAGAGGCGAATCTTCAGAGGCCCAGCAGCTAAAATCGACCACCGTTCATATTACCTGTAGAAATATATAGAAATATGAAAGACTCCGAAGGCCACACAGGTTTGATTGTTTGCTGTTTAAATATGTTTTGTTCCTTTTCCACCAGGGTTTCGGGGGGCACAGTAGGCAAGCTACGTGAAGGCCTCCCAAATCAGTGTCAACTGTATCCGACAATTCCTCCTTTGGTCGATTGATGAGAAACGCGCCACATGTATGCTTCTGCAGGCTTCGGCCAATGCATGTCAAGGATTTGCAGGGGTTTGCTGATCATGCTGATCTTGAGGAGTCTCACTCAAAGATTATCAAATAAGATGACCATCCATGTTTCGTTCTAAACTCTGGGGTCTAGTTGGGACAAAGATGCCCAACTTCCCGATGGCACCGTGCCGTCACCGTGCGATCACCGCGCGGCGGAAAGCGGCACCGCATGCGCAGCGGCATCCGGTTCGCATGCGCAACCTTCATCGCAGACTGGTTGGGTGCGGGGGAGCTGTTCCAGATCTCAGAGGAGGAGTTTGGGACGCGAGAAGTCGAGTGGAGTCCTGATCACAGTCATGAAGCAGATCGACATGAATTGAAATCCACTCCTCTGATTGGAGAGCGTCCTCTCAAAGCTTACAAGGCGCATCCGTGCGCTTTGTAGAATGAGAGTGTCATTGAAATAGGCAGCTATTCCAGGCTGGATTGAGGTCAGTCAGATAAGTTCGCCCCTCACCTAGAAAGGAGGCCTCATGTGGAACGACATGTATAAGGCTGTTTTGAAAAGCTTGGAACGACCGTCAATCCTCACAGATTTGATACCGTTCAGTGCCAGAGAAGAAAGTTGTTAGGGAAGCAGCCTGGATTCCCATTTGCGATCTTGACAAGTCCGACCTTGAGCAAAACCGGCCGCAGCGAAAGCAGGAACTGATGGACAACAATGTGGAGGTGTCACTGCAAGATTTCCGCCTCTCCGCCGGTGGCGGTTACCGACCACTCTTCTCAGAGGACCCCTTTTTTGAGGCTGAGAGGCAGGCAGCATAATATGTAGATTAAACATGATTAAACCCTTGTACATGCGAACGTGCACATGCTTGCTATTGTGTGATTTTAAGCGTTCATCCCTTCAACTGTAGTTTTTGACATCTCCCTTGGCGTCAGAAGGTTGAGAGTTGTAAATTCTCAAGACTTGTGTACCTACATTAGAAGTTTCATGTGTGCTATAGTTACTGTAAACGCGTTGGGTTGTACAATCCATCAATCCACATGTTACACACTTGAATTTCCCTTGCAACAGCAACCATATGGGACACCAGTCAAGCCACTAACCACCATGATGGATGTCTCCCACTTGCCCGGTTGACATCGGCGCAGGAGGAACTGCGGGCGCTCTTCGCCGATCACCTGCAGCTGCGGACGGTGGACCCCAACTGGGAAAGGCCCCCCCAGAGGCACCTGGAAGGCGCTTTGGTCGGAGCAGCCTGGATTTGGGGGCGCACACTGGAGTTCGTTGAAACCGGATGATAGATGGAGCTGAAACAAGACCGTGGCATCCACCTCCAAGTCTGCAGAACACAAAAGGGACTAGGGGCGGGCCATTGCAGCCAGCGGTGGCCGAGTGTTCGAGTGGAATCATGATAGATTCATATAAACAATTTAACTACTTTTATATGTATATATACGTTTCAATAATTAATACAAACGCAGATAGGTACCCCTCCAACCACTATATAACATATATGAAAAGCACACCGACATCAACAGCAACTGACAGAGCTTTGCAGCAGCCATCATGGTTGACCATCCCTTTTCCCAACCCTTTTGACCACTAGCATTTTCCCGAAAGCAGGTCCTCCAACAGCGCCAGGCCATGCCTGTGGAACTGACGGGCTTTGCGAAGCTCCAGAACCTTGGAGCCTTGAAGGTTTGTCGCTCTCAGCGTTGGTGAAGCTGCTGATCTCTTCCAGGTTTGTGATGCCCTTGACACCCTTAGGCCTTAGGTGGCTCCAAATACGAAGCTGCTGAAGATATTTGCCCATTTGTATCCGAAACACCCATGCCAGGCTTGCTCAGCCCAGACACCCAGTCGAAAGATAGATCGGCGCCCGGCCTGAAACCAAATTCTTTCGTGAGGATCCGTCGTTGTGCATCGACCAGTTGCTTCCGGTCCTTCTGCGTGAAGTGCACCATGCAGCTTGCCAGGTTTTGGGACATGTTTCATCATGAGCCGAGACGAGCTGTAGACGATCAACTGATGTGAAGATCGACCAAAATTGAAGAGTTCTGGAAATTGATGGCAGTACCCTGGGAAATCCATGTGATCAGGTAGAAGTTGTAATGCGCAACTACAAAAGTTTGTTGCTCCGCAAATTCATATGACTCCGTGTAGCAAAAGGGAGTGTGTATATATATATATATAAATAGTTATCGTTTATTACCGCGCCGCAGGGGGCTTCAGGGATGAATTTGGAGTACAAAGGGATAGATTTCCGGAGCTGGTGAAAAGCTCATCCCGTCCTGCAGGCCGGTTGGCTTTTGGCAATACGAATTGGGTTTGCCAAGGTAAGCCAACCAACACAGGGAGGTAGGACATTTTGGCATCCATTGGCTATGCTGTCAATGTATTTGAATGTATTTGATATGGTCCATGAACAATACCGAGTCAAGTTTGCAAAATACTGTGTCCAAAGAGAACACCCCAACACTTTGTGGTTGATGTTGGGGTGAATAGCCCTCAGCACAGGCACTCAACCCTGGGGCAGATACTGTAAACATTTGAAGGCAACAGTGGGAGTGCGAGAGAGAGAGGGAGAGACACAAAACTAAAGAGAAAGAGGACTTATGATCTTCGACCAAACCGGATTGAGCTCAGGCCATGGAATTCATTCATGGAGAAGTGCCTCATCTCAGGAATTGGCAAAGCTTTCTGGTTGGTGTTCAGCAAACCCATCCCATCAAGCGCTTTTGTGGGACAGATACTGTCAGACAGTCAGCCACCTGCAAACGTTGACCTTAAGGCTTCAGGAAAAGGTTGCCTTGGTTAGCTTCAAGTATGTTATGTATAGATACAGTTTGATAGCATAAGACTATTTGTCAGACATCCATATATATATATATAGTTATATATATATATGTAATAGATCTATTACTAATACAGTGCATGAAGTGAAGACATGTTCGTTCTCAGACCTTCATGTCGCCACCACCCGCAGCGGAACGTGGGAAGGGGGGACGGGCGGACGTTCGACAGGTCGAAGTCTTGCAGACTGTGGCGCTGATGACCGGCAAGCTGGCGAAGAGCGGGGGGTCGGAGAAGGTCTCGGATGTGAGGTGAATACTGATTGGATATGATGTTGGATCAAGTCTTGAAGGATTTGGGACGGTTTTTTGATAACGTTGTTTGGATGCCTTGGGGCTGGTTGGGTGCTGTAGCTGGCTGTGTTGCGGACAACTTGCAACCAACTGTATGGTGATCAAAGATCCTGGAGAAGGGCTACAGTGGCTACAGTGCGGCCAACTTGGTATTCCATTCTGCTATGGGGGTTGGGCGGATGAGCGCCGCAAGCGCGATTGTGGACCACTTCTAGGTGGACCTAGACAAGAACTTGCTGATGCTATATATTTGGTATTGATTCATACCGTGGGGCAGGCTGCCCTTGCATGCTTGCCTCAGCAACCCCAAGGACGTGCTTATTTTAGTCGCACCCGATGACGAAGATAGAACCTCCCTTGTAACGAGTTCTGAAGCACCATGCCCAGCAAAGCTGGGCTGGCAGGTGCTTGGCATGACCAGTCATGACCCTTACTGTAGAATATGTGGCATCCACCTGCAAAGGAGACCCCTCATCTTCCAATCCTTCATGATCCTTCATGTGTGGGCTAATTGGCTACGTTTTCTGGCAAGGAAGCACCTCCATTTCCCGACCTTCACAGTGTCCCCTTCATTCACTCAGACTGGAACCACCAGGTTTCAGTAATTGAACCATGATAGCTGAGGAATCCCGACCAAAAACGGACAAGAACTCATTGATTGGGTCGAGAAGCCATGCCGAGCTTCAGGACATCGGATTGCTTCACTTCTTTTTCCCAACACAGGTGCTCTTGGGATGATGAATTTCGGTGCAAGACATGGAGCAACTGAGCAACAAAACTGCGCACAAAAAACCGTGATGTTTATCAAGTTCTTTGTTTTAAAACCGTGATGTGTTTTGCATGTTTCTTTCGGAAAGTGTCGACCGGGGGCGAACCTCGGCCCCGAGGCACCTCCGCAGCCGCCGGCCGCACCCCGCCGCTCTTTGGGCGTGCGGCCTCGACGGTGGCGGCCTTGGCGTCTCGGCGTTTGGCGAGAGTGGGGACCACTGTAGCATCCGATCGCTCCTAGTAGTAGTACGCCGGGAGCACCAAACGTAGCGTCCTTGCTCCCAGTAGCGATGCCCTTTGTTCCTATAGAACATACCCTCCCTCAAACAATCATGGAAGCTGAGCAGACCCCCCTTGTAGAGGACAATTGGTCTTCCAGGCGCCTATCCATGATTGTGTAATAGAATGTGAAACCATGTCAAGACCCTCACACCCATTTTTAATATGGATGCATTCGGGATGATTGAGGTAGTCTTTCAGCAATAGGGGTTGTTGCAGCCTTCCGTAAACTTGTGCCTTCTTGTGCCTCTGATAGTGTCGCTGAGTCACCACAGGAGATGGTTCTGGGCGTTTTCCTGGGCGTCTTCGAGCGGATCGACTTCAATCCGCGCCTCGCGAGCTGTTTGGCAACGCCCATGGGACAAGAACTGCGCGGGGCCGTTCAGAGGGCCTTGGAAGATCACAAGGCGGGCCAGCTTCAAGGGGCGCGGCACCGGGCACCGGTGATTTTTCTGCACTCAAAGCTTGAGGCACTTGGAAGGTGGACCGACTTAACAGCATTTAACTTGGATCATTGAATCATACCCTTGATAGACACAGCCTTGATAGAACTCTTCACTATTAAACAACATTTCGAGTTCGCTGCGACGAAACCCGGCTGCTGCGCACGGTCGGTCGCTGCCAGCGACGATCTCGCCAGTCGATCTCCCAGGCGCTGGTGCCAGCGCTGAGGGAGATGCGATGGGAGCTGGCCAGCTATAGCAGGTTGGCACATGCCAAGTATGGCCACATAGCTGAGATATGCTGCGTTGCGGGATTGATCGGTGTAGTGGGTGTCACTGGTCACTGCATGTCACGGCAAGTGTCACCACAAAATGCTGAACTGCGAATGCAATCGAATGCATTGGTCCATGCCTGCAGCGTGGTTGGAGGCCATATGACGGGCTAGTGAGTGTGAAAGCTCCTTTTCAGTGCTTTTCAAAGATTACATAGGACGTTCTCAAAAATTATGTTCGGTCATCTCCAAAAAATTGTGCTCATTCCTCTTGAGGCCAAAATGCTCGGAAAACACACTCAGACATAAAGCGCATAAAGCTCAAGCTGCAGACGTGAGCTGTCGCAACAATTGGCAGAGCTGATGGATCTGATGGTGAGAAGCTAGCAAGTTCTTCTAGCAGTGTGACAGCTTACCGTCGGTGTCCATCTTAGTTGAAAGTAGGGGGATCACTTCTTCAAGGATCTCCTACCTGGGAGTTCTCAAATTAGGGCTAAGACTATTCTACTCGGTGTTCTTTTGTCCAGCAGGTGGTGTCTGAAGGCATCAGGTGAACAAGTTGCAGTTCTTTTGTGTCAGACACTCCAAAACCCAGATAGATACAGCATTATACACCCCATGTATACACTTATGATAGTATGTGTGTATATATAGTATTAAATTAACAGAAAGGAGCGCTCTGAGCAGCGCGTTTTTGCATTGTTTCATTTTGTTTGTATTTTGTTTCTATATGTGTATTGTGTTTCTATTGATTTTTGTGCCACTGAAAGAATCCTGCCTCAACCCCCCCTCCCCTCCGCCAAGATACATTTTTTTGTGCTCACGCAGGCTCAGCAGAGATGATTTCTTTGAATACACTACTTTTTGGATGCCGGTCTTTTCCGGCTTTCCGTAGTTGAGCGTCGAGTCTGGTAGGTCGGCATTTCTTTCAAGTTGTTGTTCCAAAACTTGATGGCCTCCTCCACCCAGAAGCGACGGCTGGTCGCATTCATGGAGTTGAGGGCAAAGTTCTTTCTGCGAATCCATGCGTTGAAAACCTCAGACATGTTGGTTCGCACCTTGCGGAGTCGAGACTTTTCCGTCTTGGTAAGGTTCCTTTTGGCACACGTGTGACTGCACCGATGGAACTCATCAATGGCATAGTGCTTGATTTGCTTGAAGGCTTTCTTGAGACTGGTATCGGATTTTACTCGTTGCTCAAAATGACATGCATCATCATGGATCAGAAGGTCGGGGTTCACCTTGGGCAGTTGCATTGCGGTTCTCACCACCTCTGCCTTGTCTGCATTGGACTCATTGATGATGTGCTCATTCGCAGCTACAACAAGGCGAGAGTCAGGATCAATCGCAAATTGCCATCCGGCAGTTCGATTTTTCCAAAAGATCCTTTGGCGCTCTTTGTCAACACAGCTACACGTGCGCTCCTCCTTTTGATATCTCTTTCCCTTTTTCGGTGGCCGACCCCGTAGAGCTACCGTGCGAGGAGCCTCCAGATCCTTATCGAGAGCCCTGTGCACTCCGAAGTGGCCATCAAAGCAGAGCACTTTCACCACCACAGGAGGAGGAAATAGAGGTTCCTGTGAGAGCCTCATACTTTCTGAGGGGCGGTCAATTGGAAAGGATAGGACTGCTTCCGGGCTTCGTTGTAGTAGGGCGAAAGCTTCCAAAGCTCTCATGAGGTGAGATTGCAACCTCTTTGTGCGAAGCAAATTTTCCTCTGATAGCATCTTTCTTACGCTGGCTTCTTGCCCAGGAGCCAGGTTGCCCCGGAGGAATCTACACCAAGACTGCTTGAGGTAATTCACGGTGAACCCAAACTGGCTTGACACCATGTAGATGCCGGAGTCTTGAAGCTCAGAGAAGTTGACGACGTTCACCTTGGCGCCGTCAAGGTTTTGTAAAATTGCCTCGGTGAGTGGTCCGACAATCCCGGGTGTGACACACCTTGCGGTAGGAAAGGATGATCTCGACACTCTCACCTCCAAGAATGGTGCATTGGATGGGCTTCTCATCGGTGCGTAGTTGCAGAGGACATTTGCAAATTGCGCACTTGGTTCTTGGAGAATGGTATACTTTCATGTCGGCAGACTCCTTCACGCTCGGCCTGTTCCGTGCGGAACCGTGCTTGGAGCTAGGTCTCTTCATCTGAGATGCTTGGTTTTTAAGCTTCTTTTACAATCCCCCGCGATTGACCAGAAGGCTGCGAGTGGAGCCGTGCAAGAAGCAGACTGTTGAAATATCATTCTCAATGACATGCGTTTGTGTACTTGTTGACGCTTTGAGACTGTTAACGTTAAAGAAGACAAATGCAAAATGATGCACAGCAAACACCTTTTTTCATTGTTTTGCTTTGCTTTGACCTGCGCCTTCCAGTCCACTGCCCCACAGTGGCCCGCAGATTCCGCAGTCACCCTGCTACAGACCGATTTACGGACCTGAGCGCCTATAGAGTGAAAAGTCCGCAAATGAATTTCCTATAGCAGATAGTTCATCCTTCCTGGTAGGTGGCGAAGCCGCGGTTGAAGGGATCTTCGTCTTCATGCGCGCATTCTGGGTTGGCGTCATGCTTTGGTGCTCGGGTTTCTTCCTCGCTATCCGGATCTAGGTCAATGACCATGGACGATGAGGCCAGTTCGCGGCTCCACACACGAGCTTTCTTGAAGACATGGTTCATTGCAACCTCTTCCTTCTCCCTCTTTATTGCGACACGCTCCTCCTCATGTGCCTGCAAGGTCTCTAGCGCAGATTCCTCTTTCGGCTTGTCACCAAACAGGGCTTCGCGAAGATGTTTTCGATCTCGGGCCTCCTGCTTGCTCATCCGCCTTTCCTCAAATCGTTTGTTCATGATGATGTTCACCCACTCCTGTTCCTTTCTCACCTCTTCCATGAAATCCTCAGGCATTTCCTTTTGGCCTGCCTTGTACTCACCGTACACCTTTTTGCCATCGGCTGTCAAGAACCCATTGCTTGACAAAGCGACGCGGGGAACCTTGTCTTCATTGATGCCTGCTCGGCGGTAGTACAGATGAGTCTTCGAGTTCACCAGGAAGGCGGCGTGCTTCATGTCGTAAAAGTCCGTGAAGTTGATTTCAAGGACATAGTCTGGTGATGGAGTCCTCATAGGTGTTGTCTTCCACAGCCCGGTTCGTTTTGAACCCACTTACTGGCTCCCCACCTAGCCCAGGCCATGCTTTCATAGAGTCCGACATCTAAAAAGCCTTGACAAGTTTCATGCTCTGAAGGTTCAGGGCGGCGTCGTCCCATAAGTACAGATCGCCGCGAAGAAAATCTAATTCCGGGGTGCAGCGAATGCAAGGCTGCCCCTGGACCTGGAGCCTCTCCAGGTTGTGGCGGCACTGTGCGAACAGGACACTTCTGCCCAATGGGCTTTTCCCTCCACCGGGCTCTCTGACCAAGGAAGCTTGAAAGTCCCAAATGGCTTCCAAAGCCTTCAAAACTTCTGCGCGGAAGTATTTTGGCGTGAGTGGTAATGGCCAATGATGCTCTTTGCGGGCTAAGGCTCCGTCGGCAGCCAAGTTCCGAAGAGCTTGACTAACCAACGCTACAGGCCAGCCAAAGATTGGAGACGATTTGTTGCGAAGTTCTTTAGTCTGCCAACGGAGCTGGGCCATTTCACAAGATGAGCGAGGGCCCATTCTTGAGAATATGATCAAAGCCCGCATCGATGTCATCATCGTCCTTCTCCTCAAAGCTGCTGTCGGGCTTTGGGCCTTTGCGACTTGTCTGGGAAGTGAGCTCAAAGCACTTGAAGATACGCCCACCAAAGTTCTCCAGGCAGTACTGCAAGATTTTCCTGCCACCTTTGGGGGAAGGCTGCGTCCACATAGATTGAAAGCCCTCGCCGTAGATGAGCTGTTTGAAGAAGGTTGCCTTGATTTTTGCCGGAAAGGCCAAATGCTTCAAGATAGTGGTTTCACCCTCGGAGTTTTTGATGATGACGATTTGGATGGTCGTTTCCTTGGGGACTTCAACCTTCAGACCAAAAGGGGCGGGAAGATACTGCAAATCCTTGCGTTCGCATGCCAGTTTGTAGCTAGCGCTGAGGTCAGAAAAGTTGATGTCGCCCTGAAAGTTCTGGATGAGGTCGAAGGCATGGACCAGGTTTGTTTCCCCTCCGTTCAGTTCCTTCATAGGGAAGGTGAGGATGTTGAAGGAGCCGCATGGCTGGAGAGGGAGCGACATGGGAGCGATGCTCCTGCAAATGAGGCCATTGACAACCTCATACAAATCATCATACGTCATATCTTCAGACTGCATGGCGGAGTTTACTACAGCAGACGAATGCTACAAATGGCGTTTCCTGAATCCTTGATGGATGACAAATGCTAACAGACAGATCCTTCCAGGCAATGTCAGACACATCAACCATTCTCAAGAAAACGCATGAAAAAAGTTGAAAAATGCTCACGTTCATCGAAAAACGCGCCGCTCACAGCGCTCCCCTCTCTAAATTAAAGTGTAATTATTGTGTAGGTGGTCTCAGGTAAACAACAATCAATGCTACTTCGTCCCGCTGCCGCTGCCATCATGTGATTTCAATAAGAACTGTGGCTAAGAGTAATCACGAAAGCTAGCCTTAGCTAGCTGGAGTTGCTCTTGCTTTAGCAAGTTAAGTGACGGGGTGGACGCACCTCAGAAACCTCAAATAATTGATTAAATCAATCTTATGGACCCCCCCCCCCGCGGTTCGACTCCCCCCTGCGCGCGGTGAGCGGGACCACCAAGCAGCTGCAGCACACCAAGCATCTGCAGCGCCCAGCGCAGCAGCGGCAGCAGCAGCAGCACCAGCAGCAGCAGCAGCAGCAGCAGACCACCCAGCGGCGGCAGCAGCAGCAGCAGCATACCCAACGCCGCGGCAGCAGCAGCCGCAGCAGACCACCCAGCGCCAGCAGCAGCAGCAGCAGACGACCCGGCGCCTGCAGAGCACCCAGCGCAGCAGCGCCCAGCGCAGCAGCGGCAGCAGCAGCACCAGCAGCAGCAGCACCAGCAGCAGACCACCGGAAGCCCGGCTAGCTTTCGTTCACCCCCTCTGGCCTCAAGTCAGATTCTAAGTAGTAACAGGTGCATCGCTAGTAGTAACAAGTGCCTTACTAGTAGTAATCAGATTCACATTCGTCAGAATATCGATTTAGTTGCTCCGCTCGGTGCCATTCAGGCTCCCAGTGGCATGCCGATACAGCACTTCACGTGGCCTCACAGGCGCGACCAGTAGACCGTGACCGGTGGTGACCCACGAGGCAAGAGATCGAGAAGGTCGATAACAGTGAATAAGACATGATCAGAACTCATGATTAGGTTTAACATCTCCATATGCCCGAGGGTCATGAATCCACAGTTGTGAACCTCTTGATGGGCAAGGTGATAAGAGTGAATCCACGTGGTGTTCCATCAGAAAGCATCAGAAAGCTTCGCAAATGTTTCTACAGACTTGTGGAGAGTTCTTTCGCACTTCAATTTGGGCAACTGGCACACCACTCTGCAAGGAAGATGACACTGACCAGAAGAGTAGATGTCTTTGGTTGATGTCATCGATGTTGCGTTTCGTGAGTGCAGCATGAGATAGCATGAGGGTCCTTACTATGGTGAAGAATGATCACATGCCAAGGGTTAACCAAAGATGGATCTCTGGTACTCCTATTGAAGGGTGGGCAGCCAGGGTCGCAGGTGGGTTGAGATTGCCAGACCAGGCCATTTGGTTTAAGGGCTGTGTCAAAACCTCGGATTCGCTGAGAAGGTCGAGTCCTTGGGCGGAGCAGCGACCTGAACCGAACACTTGAAGTCACGTCGTCCACGGGCTAAACAATCGAGGCCCGGCCCAAGGTTTTTACTATATGTGTTTGTATGATGTGGGGCAATGTTTCTTTACCTTGGGAGGTTACACATGCGCTGACCGAAGATATGGATTGGCAGGCAGAGTGGGCCCTTTACCATTTGGCTCGCTTGGATGAGCACTTTGCAGAGCGGCTGGGGATTGCTGAGGAAACTGAAGGAAACCTGGCACTGTTGCAGCCTGAGCCTTTAAAAGTTGAGACTTGACAGCAAGCAAATGGTGCCAACAATGTCAAGGGTCAGATTGATCAGACTCTCCTGATCAATCAACAAGTGTGCCTAAAGCCATGTTCAAAGCTATGCAATCAAGCTACGCAGCATACAAATAGATGTAAAGAATGTTTTGGACACCCAATGTCAGTCGCGCGGAAGGTGTGTCCCACCGATGGGGAGACCCTGAAGGATCGACGTTCACACTCAACCATGGCAAAGTCGACGCACTCCACTGGGGAGACCTTGGTGCTTTAGAGACACGGTGGAGACCTTCAAAAGTTGTCGGCCTGGAAATGATAAGTCCTTTTGATTTGTGAAAGGAAAGGTTCCATAACATAGACAAAACTGAAAATCATGAGGCAAAAACTCTGTGTTCTTCTTGACACGGTCCCAATCTTTGGACGGAGCTTCGGCGGGGGTTTCGAGGAGCCGCCCACGGATTGGGCCCTGGAGCTTCGCACAGCACTGCATGTGGAAGGGGAGTTGTTGCACTTGGACAAGGCTGCGGGCGAGATTCAGAGTGGTGATCGGGACGGCACAGACGACGTTGAGCGAACAATGGGCGTGGCTGATGTGGAGGTGCAGGGAAGGTGTTAAGAATGACTAGGATACATTGCGAGCATCACCCAGCACTAGGCAAAAAGCATGGTGCAGTGATCAACCTGATTAAACCCTGATGTTTGTCGTGAATATCATTGCTGGCTCATCGAGGGCGACCTTCCCCTTTGTTTGGCCATGAGTCTTTTTTGGATGGGTTCACAATATCTCCAGCAAACTACCAGTTTTCTAAAACAGCTATAGGTCAAAACCGGAGGACCCAGGTTGACCACCGCAAATGAACAGAATAGATTACCAGCCAGGTCAACCTACCAGCATTTGGAGCTCCAGCGCGGGTCCGGCAGGGGCACAAGTACTTTTAGCAAATCCTGAAGTTGAGTCAACATGCATGGCAGACATTTGGTCAGACTGTGGTGCCGTCCAACTTCACAGTTTTTGTGGGCATCAGCCAGCTATGCACACATTGATTTGATGAGGGGGTGGGGTGGGGTGTGGTGTGGTGAGGCAGGCGGTTGTGCAAAATCTTGGCAGCAGTTCAGCTGCGTTGGTAGTCATGGCCTGACGTGTTAGCATGTTTTGCAATGTTTGCATTGTTTTGTGAACCTTGGTTCTGTTCTGATGTTCTTTTGATTTTCCGTGCTTCTTTCTTGCAAGGGCCTTGATGCATTCTCATTGATCAACTAGTACACATGCAGAGCGTTGGTGTGAAAGGGTACTGGTATCTTGACTGTTTGACCTCTGTTTTTGAAAAAGGGAGCTGCGCAGCTACTGACTGGATTCTTCCGTTTGATTTTCGACATCTGTCAGGGCCTTCTTCGGTTTCTTCTCCGCGATCTCCTTTACCGCGATGAACACGCAGCTTGACATTTGCTTGTTGGGGACTATCCAGAAGAGAGTTGGTTTGGGATGAATGAGTTTCCCCGCTTCAAGTGGTAGTTGCCGAAACGGCATGTAACAGCACCACTGTGTGTGTTTGTGTGGTCTTGTGAGATGGATGTGTTGCATGTTGCGGCACTTCAGAACAAGGGCTTCAGAATCAGAACCTCTTTATATGCGTGTTGATTTGAGCAGGGTAGCAGATACTAGATCCAACGTAGTGATGTTGAATGTGTGTGGAGGAGGTCGGATGAACAAGGAATGCCGAGCCAAATGGTCAGTTGTCAGTTGTGCGTGATTTTGGTGTGGCCGCTCTTGTGTTTTGGCCTATGATCCACGCGAGGATGATGTGCACGAAGGCATTGTATCCGAAGTCCTGAAGCGCATTCAGCTGCGCTTGCAAATTGTAAGTGTCACCACCATGGGGCATTTCGGCCAACAGATTGGTGCAAGGGAAACTGGGACCTCCCCTCGCGCTTTCCAGAATCCTCGATCCTTCAGAATTCTCCACAAGCCCCAATCAAACAACTAAACCAACACCATCTCATACCATCTCCTTCCAAAAATGATCCAATATTTGAATATTTGTTCAATTCTGTCCCCGGAAAGATCCCCAACACCAGCCAGGTCTGTGACCTGGGCGCCTTTGCTGGTCACTATTCCCTTTGGCTCAACGACACCGGCCTCGTCACCTCCTTCGCCTTTGACGCCGTGACCGCCGTGACCGCCAGCGTGCGGCCCATGGACTTGACCGAGGAGCGGTGACGGCGCCACCTTGTTTTTCAAAAACTCATGGGAATTCGCTGAAGACTGTGTGGTAGCTGGGGGCACGTAGTGAAAAGTAGCGTGTACGGAGGAGCTTGAATCATGAATGGATTTGGTTTGCATTGAAGAAAACAGTCTTGAGTCCGGACTTTATAAGCCACTGAATCGGTCCTATAGATTCGGGCTGTTGTTTTAGATTTGGGCTGTTGTTTTTGAAGAACCTTGGAGATGCCGCGGCAGCAGGAAAGCTGTCCATCACTTGTTAAGGCCGACTCTGAAGATACAGCCGTCAGCCACCTCCGTTTGACAACTTGTTCTCCACAAACGCTGTTAAACCATGTACATGAGTGTAGGTTTGTTTCTTGTATGCTTCGTCCGCTCGCATCCAGATGTTATATCTTGGGGCTCCGAGACATCAAGGAAACCTGCATCTATTGAATCATGTCCGGCTGAGAACTCTATTAGTTTGGGGCAGAGGTCGCCCTCGCGCAGGAGGGTGCCGCCGCAGAGCTGCCGATCCGATGTGCTGCCTCCGGGCACAACACGTCGTGGAGTTCCAGGGGTGGCTACGGCAGAGTGTTGGCCCGAAGAAGAACCATGAAACAGCTTGCAAGTGCCCTCCCTACCTGCTGAATGGCACATCCCCAAAAGCTGGAGCTAAGGCATAACTTAGCCTGTGGACTTTTATTCGTTGGAAACAGGCATGTGTTTGTGTGCTGTTTTGTTTGTGGCATCATGTTTGAGGTTTCATTTGGTATGATTTGATCAAGCGGAATAAACATTGTCCCCCCATGTTCTATTCGTAGATATGTTTAATTGCTTTGTCCTCAATGCCAGACTTGATGGTACATGTGCAAATGTGTCCCAAGCCACGGTGATATCAAGTCCTCGGACCTTTCTTCAAGCTTTGATCCAAGACCAGGTGTGTCTAAGTATGTATGCATAATTATGCATAAAAAAATACACACCTATGTGCTGTGTCTGTGTGTATATTTATATATAAATATAGAGAGAGAGTTATTATCAATTTTGTTCCAGCAGATGTTCCGCACTTACTTGTCAATACTGAAAGTTACCACTTCTCGGCCACGCATGCTGCAACTGCATGTTTCACCAGCAGAAGGAGTGACATGTGGCCATTGATGTGGCTGTGTCAGTCAAATCTGGCCAAGCCCACTGGTTGGCACCCAAAATGTAAAGAAGGGTTGACACTTTACTCCTCAATTGCGCGCCTTCACCTGTGAGGTAGGTTTGCTTAGCTTTGCGCCTTGCCCGCGTGCTGAGGTGGTGCTGTGCTTGGAAGTCTTGGAACATATCCCCAGACATCAGGACTTGCAGGGTCAACCAATCATGTGTTGGAAGTTCCTGGTACATCAATACATAAAGTTCCCCGCATAAAGAAAGAACCCACCTTCAATACAGACATCAGCATCAGCCACCTGTGATTGCTGTGGATTGCTGTGATTGGAAGGCCCCTTAGGAGATCAGGGCCCCAGCTTCCGGAAACGTTGGCTCCTTTGACCTTAAGGCTGCGATTGACCTTAGGCTTAGGCTGCAACACACGGTAGCACCAACCCTTCAACTCGATGTTGAAACCATAATTAGGCCATCACTGCTGCTTGTCAGGGACAATGTGTTCTTTCTTGGGCGTTGGTCACATGCGGGCAGAAAAGAAAGGCCTACAAACATGGACGACCCCCTCAGCTTCGACGAAAAATACGTTTGGGTTTGCTTCAGGAGGAGGTGGCTCTCAAGAACCTGGGCCGTTTGGCAGGGCGTGCGCTGGTGTGGCCTGACATGATCAAATCGCTGGCGTTCGCTGTTTGATTTGCTGTTGTCAGCCACAATCTCACTTAACTTTGTACACTCGGACGGTCAATGGTATTTCAAGTCTTGTTTTTTTCTTCAGGGTTACTAGTACTGTAATTGTTGATGGCTTATTGATGAGGCATGTGCAGGGTTAAGATTCTTACCCGAAGGCTTTAGACTTCTGTTGGCCGATCAGATCAGAGAGAATTACTAGAGGTGTTTTTGCTTCAATGTGGTGGAAGAATGCTCGCAGAGAGTGCGGTTGGGAGTCCCATGCAGGAGAAACTAAGTTGATTGATTTGACAAGCAGGCCAGAAAGAGTTCTTTGGTTTGCTCCCTCCGCCCCGTGTCAAAACACTACTGCCCCTGGCTGTAATCGGGTGAGCTAGTAGAATCCCTGGGAAATTCCTATGGATGCCTATGGAATGAGATCTGTAGAATCACCAGTTTCCATTTTCCCGCATTGGTCCTGGCTGGGGGTTCTTCCATTTCTACTGTCCTCAAAGCGCAAAAAGTGATGCAAAGACACACCCCTTCACCGGTGTTCAAACACGTTTCGTTCTCCTTTCATCAGGACCTCCACCTGAACGAAAACTAAAGAAAACACTCGTTTCACGTTCCTCGTCATTCTGAAAACCAATTTGTTTGCGTCACCGACATCCATCCGAAACGAAACGAAAAGAACCACCAACCCTCCCCCTCCCCCAGGGAGATCCACCCGAGTCGAGATGAGCCGAGGTTGTCCTGGGCGCCGCCCCACATCCCGGGGCCCGGCCACATCAACCAACGCCCCACGCTGGACGCGTGGGCGCGGGTCGAGGAGGCGAGGACGAGTGACCGACGTGAGGAGGTCCGAGGTCTGAAATCAAAAGTGGAGGGCGGGAGGAGCTGGTGCCGTTTGCTTGTAAAACTGGAGTGCCTTGTTTTGCTTTTGGAGGGGCTTAGGCCTGATCCAGACTGGTGAGTAGGGTTCAATTGGGGCTTTGAGTTCTGCACAAACCGTCATTTCTGCACTCCTTCAAACAAACAGAGTGAGCTCAGAGTAGGACGCATGGATCCATACCATTTGAGGGTGTGCCGCATATACTCTGAACTCACTGTATAATAGGAATGAGATGCTTGGGTCCTTAGAAAATTACAGTAATCCTGGGTACCATGTGGGCTACTGATTAATTTTGTTGGATTAATTTCCCAGGAGCAATTTCCTGGGGACACCAACATGGAATGAGTCTCAGTTGGGATGAAAATCCCGTGACCTCCTTCCTTTTGGCTCGTGTGCTTAGACTTTTCTGTTTTTTTCCCAAGCCCATCAAAAGCCCAGGTGTCATAGACGCAGAAGACGCAGATTGCGATGTCTTCTGGTCACACGAAAGCACCTTCCGGTCGCCGAAACCCCAAGATATATTGCTCACGGGTTTGCACAAGTAACGCATGGGTTTGGCGCCCAGGCAGCCAGTTTGGACTTCTAAGTGTTTGAAAACTAGACAGGGTGTATTCCAGGACGTGATGTTTGGCACAGGTAGTTTGGCACAAGGTTTAATCACCGGTGTCCTCCCACACCAGTTTTCTTTTCGACGGACAAACAAAAGACGCCCTAGACTGGTTGCATGTGGGAACTAGACAGACTGCAGAGAGATCCTTTCCTAGACAAATGGAGGTGTGCGCAAACAAGAACCAACAGAATGCAGATGAGATGCAGAAATCAGAGATGATCAGAGGACAAATACTTGGGAGGTTTGCTCTACAAGCCGTAGGCACCTCTAGGCCTCTAGGCCTCTAGGCACAGGGCGGTTCAAGCAGGTCACCGGGCTTCAGCGGAGCCACGAACTCACTGAAGAAGCTCAGGCGGAAGGGTTTTCCGGGACTCGCGCGTCCGGATGCGGACAGGGTGGACTGGAAGAACCACATTCAGCCGATCTTCCCCACAGATCTGCTTGTGATGTTGTTTCTTTCTGCAGGTGTTTCAGGCTGTTCCCTCAAGCTGCTTTTCTTTGCTTTTCTTGTAAGTATCAGATGTCCGACAAAAAAGAAGCTAGAAGCACTAGGATGACCTGTCGTGCCTGTTGAGAAGTTCGGCCTTGGACTCTGGGGCACGCCTGTCACAGGCTTTTGGTGCACGTGATCAGCCCCACAAGCTGCCCAGATATATGCTTCAGAGTGTAGGTAAGAAGCGTACTGTTATACAGTTGATTCTCAGGTGGTACACTCACAGAACGGATCCGTTGCAAGACCCTTTAGCAACTGGGAATTGAGGCGGCCCGTGCTTCTTCATCCACCTCAGGATCAAAAACAACAGAACTCACAACCCATTGCGAGACGTCTAGTAATACCTATAGTACATAGAGAGTTTGCATGAGTTTGCGGTCGATGACTTTTGGATCTCCATCAACGGATGATGTTTTTTTCCTCCACACAGTTCTCATCCGAGTGAGGCCCGCAGCGAGATCCCTTGGATCCGCGAGTCCGTGGCGATCTTCTTCCGAGTCCCGGGCCCGGGGGATCTGACGCCGCCTGCAGAGAGGACGCAAAAGTGGGCGGCAGCCGTCAATTTGGGTCTATGTGTGACTGGACCTTGTATATAAGAAGGGGAGTTAGAAGAAAGGAATGTGTTTGCTTTTGGCTCCATGGGTTTGAGGGAGGGAAGCGGTCATTTTCCCGGCTAGCTTTAGGGAATTCTGATTCTTGTCTCACACAGAAATACCTCCAGCCACACTCAGTGGGTGATAGGGATCCTGGTTGCAACGGGCTGTGAATGTGGCTGTTACAGACAAATACCAAGCAAAGCGTGTCTTTGCCGCCACGCTGTGGTTGGAGAATGAATACTGATCGGCTTGGATTCTTCACTATCAGGCCGACCGTTGTGTTGTTCTGACGTTGGTCCGGTGGGAGGTTCGGCAGGTTTGGGATGTTTGGCACCTGATCCGCTCGGGAGCATGAAACAAAAAGGTTGAATGCTTCTGATGCTTCTCCATGTTTCCAGATGCGGCCTTTGCTGATTTGCCAGGTGCCACGTGCTTGGTGTACCTCGGCGATGCCGCGCTCGCACAGATGGCGGTGCAAGTGTTGCAGGGATATTCCTTGCGACGGCACAGTTGGGAGTCCCAGCATGACCAAGGGCACACAAGCTTGCCTGGCAGGTGAGGTGTTGTTTTTGGAAGTGGGTGCTGCAAACTCTGACTGAGATAGATATATATATATAGCTATGATATAGCTATGATTTTTGAACCTATCCAGATTCTCCATTTTGGGGGGTTGACCCTTGATCTTCCCAAGGCACTATCAAGGAGGAGTTCAAACTAGTCGCCATTTAGACAGGTATACGTTATGCAATTACATCTGCAGTATATTTTGTATAGCGGCATGAAAAATACATGACACAAATTATCCAATAACTGCTTTTGCTAGCATTTGTTCAATGCACAAGGCTAGATATCCAAACGAAGCTCAGCATCGTATGCAGCAACGTCATCATCGTTTGGGATGTTTAGGTCTCCCCTAGCTAAAGAATCCCCTTTAGACAAAGCAAGGTGATGGTGTTGCAACGGCAATGGTTTGTTCACATACTAATTACTGTATATCTCTAGTCTCTAGAAAGAGTCCTAGAGTTGACCCTTGCATGCCCAACCGCATAACAACAACCACCTTTGAGTATCGACCTCAGCAACTACCTCTGAGTCCCAGGTTCATTGGAAGAGTATCAACCCTCGTTTGAGGTCTGAATTTCATGGCTGCCGCAGTGCCACAGGGCAGTGGCACCATCTTCGTCGGGAACCTCCCGTAGGGGCACCTAGCATGTGGAGACACGTGGCGTTTTTGTGGCCGTGGCAGTGGACCATGGAAGAAGAGTTTCCAGTTCTCGAAACGGGTGAGCATTGCGCATTGTACACCTGATATTCATATGGAGTGGATCTTCCATGATCATCTCACATGGGTGTGAACTGGCCTGAACTCTTCGGCAGGTCAGAGGCAGACGAGCTCTCCTTGCATGAGCTCTTTTCCAGTCAAGCGGCTGTGGCCGACATCCGCCTGGTGAGGCATGAGACTGTGTGTTTCGGGCCACTGGGCAGCAGACCCCAACCGGCAACATGGACATGCTGAAGATCAAAAGACGCGCCTAGAGTCCTAGAGATCTTTTGTTTTTACAACTAAGTTCTTTCAATAAGTTTCCCATAAATCACCGGCCAAACTTCCAAAAGTTTGCCCACTGTTTTTTTTGCAAGTGTTTCCGGTTGATTCCGAGGTTTGTCGACTTCAAGAACCACCACGATGCCATGAAGGCGTGGATGCATTTATATAGTTGCAACAAAGAAATTGGCCAGCTGAGGCTGAGGTTTTGGGGGGTGGACCATGGAGCACCTGCAGGTGGTAGACGAGCTGGATTTGGCTCGTTTTTCGGGGAAGCGTTTCATGTGGCTAACTGGTGCGTGCTTCAACGACCGGTGAGTGAGGCCTTGGAGGAATTGCAAGGGGTGAAGTACTTGGGGAGGGCATTGCGCTTAGATGAGCAACAAGCAGCTTGGCACAAGTGGTGATGAGTGGTGGATAGTGGTGGTATAGAGCAGCCGTTTTGTTTTGGGGACAGCGAGATGGCCATACTCAACGAGGAGACTTCTCCAAATGAGTGCAACTAGCAGCATGAACTGGACAATGTTCATATATTGGTCTAGGTATAGTCACCCCTAAGAGCCGCGGACAAACCAAAACCAAGAGGAATCTTGAAAGAGATCCAGCCAGTGGGAAGAACAAGTTGTTGGACGACATCAAGAGAAACAAAGCAACCCGTTGGTGGAGGAAGGTCATCATTCAATCCGGACTTACTTACGCGATGCGACTCAGTCTCCCTCCAACCTAGTAGCTTCTTGTTACTAGCAGCGATGGCCTCCCATCTGCTTGCGATGGCCTAATAGCGTCCTTATCCCAAAGTCCCCTTTTGGTTCTCCCAAAATGGAGCAACAACCACTCATTCAGGTCCGCTCTCCGCGTCGCTATGCGTCGCTCCGGGAGCGCCTCGCACGAACTTGTGGAGCGCCCAGGTGCGGCCCAACTTCACTCCGGTGCTCAGCCGTTGCCCCCCAGCGCGCGAGCGCGGGGAGACCAAGCTGAAGCGCCATGGCCCGGACGCACGCGCCTGGGCCGCACCCTGACACGTGTCATGTGAGTAGAGCTGCATGGGGGCGGGGCGTCATTATGTGTTAGTAGTTGGACCACGACCCCCGGTAGGCCGTGTGGTTTTCTTGCGATTTTGACTTTTTTCGACGTTTTTTTGCATCCCAGCTGCAGGTCTTCGTTGCATTGCACAACAATAAAACATATCTCAGATTGCACATAACATGATGCTAGCTCATCGTATCTGAAACTTATCTCAGACTGCACATAACATGATGCTAGCTCCTCGCATGTGAATTGAAGTCACCAAATGTTTGCTATGTTGCACTCTAAATTCTACCCTTGGGTGGAGAATTTCAACGTTTTTGCCATTCGCCAAGTTGATGCTACATTGGGTATGGATTGGAAGTTCTTTGATGTCTGTAAACTTGCTTACTTGCAACAGCAACACGTACGACATGGACAGTTTCTGACGGTCAGAGCTGCAAATTGTTGGGGTGGGGGGTGGGGGGTGGGGCCAACAATGACGTCGGTCTACATCGTCAGCCGACATAATGACGTCGGTGGGGCCAACACAATGAACGATCTGTGCAAAGTCGCTAAGCAGAGCCGGTGGGTGCAAAAAGAAGTAGTTTTGTGATTTCGCAAAACGTGCAATTTGCAGTTGCATCTTTGAACATGATAGTGGCGCTACAGCGCCGTGCGCATGTTCAATTAGACGGCCCTCACAAAATGCCACGGCCTACCGGGGGTCGTGCACATAGTAGTTACATTGTGGTGTCCTTTTACATTCTTTTACATCCTTTTACACTTGATATGAATTCCTTGGTTCAGGGTTACCGTGAAAAGGGTTGCAAAAAGGCCTGGGCCTGTTGGTGTCATCAAGGACTGCCCGAACCGCTTGTGGAGTTCTACACCATACACCTACAAGGGCGATTGCCCCGACGGTGTTTGCCTCAACGACAAACTGGTAATACTCAATAGGTTTAAATGATCTTAATAGGATTTTGATTCAGAACGCATGAGCACGGCGAAAGGTTGGTGAGGTGTCCCTCGGCACAGGCTTCGTTGTTTAGTCATATTAGCAGGATATATAGAAAGCTCCTGGATGATGGAAGGTGCTTCCAAGTGAACATCCCGGATTGAAATTTCCGCACCACACCTGTTTCCATGAGTGCAACATAGCAATGAATCGCATGAATACTTCAATGAGACGAAACAATTTTGAGATCACTGGTGCGAAATCAAGCGGACACCTATTACTAAATTTGAAGGCTACCTGCGGGCTAGACTAGAGCTGTGAGACTCATACTCATAGTGGCAATCAGTCTTGAGTCAACCCAGCATGTGCCTCCAAGCATAATTGAAAGCAAACAACCCAGGGGTCCTTTCTCTCAGGTCCCACCGAAGGTTGCGCTTTCCACCAGGAAAGCCTCAAAGACCCTAGAGACATTCGCCGACACCCAACTTCTGGGGATAGGATCGTGGCATAGGGGCATAGGGTGCGGGTCGACACGCAAGAATTCTGATTTGAAGATGAACCTGTTGGTCTAAATTGGCACCCCTTCAAGGTGCAAGGAACCATGTGCCATCCTGTGCGTGAAGGAACCTGTGGTTCAGCACCTGTAGCTCTGACCACAAAAATTGAGCGCCTCCATCAGGCAAGCTCTTTGTTGGTGGGATCAGTCCTGAGATCAAGGAGGAGGAGCTGTTCTCGGAGGTTGACGATAGCTGATCTTGTGGACAGGTGAGAAAGATATGAAAGAGTAAGAACGCCGTGGTGAGGAATTGAGCCTTCGCATGTCATTATACATTTTGTCCAACATGTTTCACTGCATTACGTATACCGCATACTGTAGAATCATATGAGGGTGAAAAAAAGGCTAAAGTGCTGAAGTTGCTAAGCGTGTGTCCAATGGTCTTCAGAACGGCAATGCAAGCACAATGTCAATCATTGTTTGTCCTGACGCATCCAAAAGCTGACATTTGGCAAAAACTTAACTGACCTTCACTGACACTAGGAAGATCTACCATCTACACACATTCATGCATATTCAGATGTGTCCTTTCCCAGAAGGTGAGCGGTTGACAACTGAACTCCTCCTGTCTCAGAATGTCAGCCGTGAAGAAAGCTGGTGATGTTCCAAGGCGCCTCAGACACGATCAGGCACAGGGGAACCTTTAAGCTGCCAATGCCAAGATTGAATATTTGTTGTCGTCTAAATACTCCAAGGGCCCTCAAACGGGTTACAATGCAAGAAATATAATACAACATGGTCATGATTGGACATGCCAAAGTGCGCAGCATACAGTGGCATACAGAACGTTCTGCGCGTATTAATTGCAGTTGCCAAGTATCCTATTCTCATTTGTTCTCTATTTGTGCTCTATATCTATGATATATGTGACCCGACCATGACTTTCTTCAGAAAACGCCTTCGAAGATGGACGCGTCGTTGGCGGCTTCAGGAGGTGCAGCAAAGCTTGGAAGCTTTGAAGGGCGCCACTGAGGCGGCAGACGTGGGTGGCATGTGGGTCATGGCTTCATGAGAAACCTGTCCAAGAGAACCACCTGAGATTTTGCAGTATTTCATCTTACTCAGCAATTGGCTGTTGACTGATGAGCCCACCTGAGATGAGACTGCGATTCAGTTGCCAAGATCAGGAGATCTGGACACCCCACTTGTCTCCCACCTTTTGTACAGGGCCGGCAAGGCTGTTTTCATAGATCAGATGGGTGGCACAGACAGATCATGTTCCAAACCCGCCTGAGTGGGCAAATCATGCGGCATCAAATGCCCGCAACGACATTGATTGAAAGCAGACTTTTTTCAACCTTGCCAGGTTCTTTTTGGGCTGAGGTGATAGGCGTTGTGTTTCAAGTTCATGGTGCTTCATTCTGGAGACCTATATACTATACATATACTGTATATATAGGGTATGATTGATTGCGAAATTTGGAGGCAACCCTGAAACACCGAAAGAATACCGACAGACTATTAGTTTGTCTATGTTCATGCAACGATATATGTTCAATGATCTACTAGAGTGGGTCCACTGGGGGTTTTCTCTTCTTGTGGTGCGTGGAAGGGGACCTGCTGCCCAAAAGACAATGCTGGCATCTCACATGGCAGGTGTCAATCCATCAGAACAAGAACAAACTGGGCAGCTATGCCTTTGCACCTTGGCTGGGCAGTTTTGAGCTTGAACGTCCTACTTAGTTACTTAGAACGCGGGAGAACTCGTTGGAAACCACCACCATCGTGGCACTCCAATTGTTTTTTTGGGGGGAAGCAACACCATCTCGGCAATTTGCAGGTGTCTCATCAATGAATGGTCATCAATCATGTATAGGACAACTCGGGTTTCAGGTTCAGGGCAATTCTTGAGATCACAAAGAGAAGTGCTTGCATTCAATGAAGCATACCATTTGGCACTGAAGGTGTATATTTGATCTCTGCGGAATCCTTGTGGCCTTGCCCGGGTGACATGGTTCCCTACATGTCCCATGCCATACTCATCTTCATCATATCAATCCCAGATTGCTGCATCTAAAAAGCGAAGATTGCACAGAACATCACAAAACCATGCAAATCCGAGTTCACTTTGGATTATGGGATTCGTTGGATTGGTCAGAAAAAGCACCTACTTCGGAAGAGCTAGAGCCATGTAGGAGCTTGTTCCTTTGGTGTTGTGGTGAGTGGCTGCCACCACACTCATGCAGTTCACACACAGCAGAAGCTTGCCACAGCTTTAAGGTGTGGTTCAGCACTCCAGTGTTTTGGCAGAAGAGCACAGTGGGGGCGGGAGTGGGGTTGGTCTTATTGTTTGTTTTATGTTAGGTTGTATATCCTGATTTGTTTCACTCATTAAGTTCAAATGCATTCGGACCTTGGAGCAGGTGCCTTGCAACTGTTGTTTTGTCACATGCCTTATACATAGCATACATACGGAATTCAACGAACTTTACACACACACACACATTCTGCAAATTGCCAAATAAATGAAAGTAAGCTTTGGGCTAAGTTTTTACTTGGAAACCCAACTGTGTGCGGATGCCTTCAGTTTCCGTGCTCGGAATGAGTCGGCACCGCTTGTATCACCAACTCTGAAATAGCTTAGCTCAACTGTTCAAGCAGCATTTTTGTCAGTCAATTCTTTGCTTCCTCGTGATTTGCTTTGAGTCCGCCCAATTTAAGCTCTGTATGGTTTTGCACGGTCAACCAATGGCAGCCATGTTGGAGGCCATCGAATTACCTTTACTTTTCCAAAAGCAGCTCTAAGGAATTGGCAGAAGAAGCCATGCAGAAACGCCTTGTGGTGTGTGCGGGGCAGTATCCCGGCAGCACTCTACGCGAACTTGGTGAGGAGTCTTCAATCACATGTCACAACATGTCACAACTATGAAGGTGCCCTTTAGAGGTGTAGCCTGAATAAAGTGGCAGGTTTTCATGAGGTTTGGCCCAAATGCCTAGCAGCAAACCGAAAAGCTACACCCGAAATGGAAGAGCCTGTCATCCACAAGAACAGCCGGGCACGCCTCCAGCAACGACATCCCGCCCAGAAGCCTTGCGAAACAACACGATGACGTTGCGATTGTGCTGACAGGTGCAAAACAACCTCCCAAATCCACCGCAAAGGGGCTATGATTTGATTGTTTTGGGAGAGTGTTGGCATTGTGTTTAGGATGGAGTCCCGGTGTGAAGTCAGCCTGAGGAAGTTTCATTTGGAGCGGACCATGAAGAAAAAAGAGGCCGAGATTTCAGGGCAGCTTTGGAGATTTGGGCGGCTTGTTTCAGGAAAATCTTCAGAAGACATGCAGATAAAAACAGTGAGGTTTTCGAGTGTGTTCTTGTTTGGATTGTTTGGGTTTCGATCGTTTTGTGGTCCTGTTTGTGCTTTCTTTTGTGCGTTTGTGTGCCACAGCTGCAGGTCAAGGACCTTGGATAATGATAATGTTTCGCCTGTACTTGGCGCATAGTCGTTGCTGTGATGCTTGGTCAAGCGGCCGCACTGCTGGGAGATCCTCACGTAAAACGCCGCCCTTGTACCGCAAACTCACTGGGACTGGGACATACTGAAAGCCTGGTTGAAAACGTGATCGAATTCTAGTTAGTTGGTAGTTCATGTGCTCTTTCTTAGGCAATGATTTCCCCTGAAGTTGCTTTGTACAATGCACATCCGAGTTTACATCCCCCTGTGTTTGTACATAATGGTTGATGTCGATGATCTATCCACCAAAATTAAGGTACCACGCTGCTCTCAAAGAAATACAGTATCTCCAAGAAGATTGCATCGACAAGAGTGGAGGATAACAGCATATGCACAATTGTAGTCCCCGGAAGGATCCTCTGACAAGAGTGAAAACACCTCGCACCACTGGTTTTGTAATGACCGCTTGCTCCAGCTACGTAGTTAAGCTCAAACAAACGCGGCTGATGATAATGATCATCAAAATGATGATGACGATGACGATGACGATGGTGATGATATGAATATCTATATAATATATACATAAATATACATACATTTAAATATATATATATATAACCTAACAACGCATTTCAACAAACCTGAGGTCGTTACACAAGGTCACAAGGCAATCATAGGATCCCTCAATGTGCATTTCTTGCAAAGCAGGATGTCCACAGGCTGTGCACTACTCGTTCTGCAGAGACTAGGTAGGAGCTTTTTGGTAGATGTAGCGGAGGATTGGTGGTGTCATTGTATCAGCAAGGGTGGGAATAGAGTTTTGTAATTTGCGTGGGGGGACTAGTGCAACCTCGGCCAATGGAAAAGACAAAGTTAGCAGCTAGCTTCTGTTGAGGGCACCCAGATGTTTGAGGATCATCCATGGGGTGAGTGCACTGCCGTTGGACTGTCGACCTTCACCAGGAACCGCGGACAGATCTCATGGTGTGCACCTCGCCGCCAAAAGAAACACGGTGTTGGTTGGACATTGGGACGGGTGGGAAGTGCTGCGAACCTGCGCCCCCTCAGTATGCGAACCGTGTTCCACAGGCACAGGATCATTTTCTGCACAACAACCGCAAGTGGTCAAGCAGGAACTATCAGCGTTTGAGAAGTGGAGGGCCCCACCCCACGCAGCATTTCCAAGGTCATGTTGGGAAGTAGAGGGACGTCCCTAGCAAACAAGGGTGCCTCAAACCGAGGGTTACGAATGTTCTGCCAAGCACCCACCTCACCGTACAGCAGAACGCAGAATCCAGAGAAAAAGATGATTGGACACCTCAAATAAGAAGAGGTCGTATACCATCACTGAAGACGGTGCGAGAAAGTTGCTCCAGGAAACAAGTCTTGGGAGCCCGGGATCAAGCACTCTACTCTTGACGTCAATTGTGAGTTTGTGACGGATGAGGTAGCTGCAGAGTCAGAAACAAGAACGATGGAACCGGTCCGAACCGGTTGCCGGGTTTTCACCCACTTGATGCTTGAACCACCGGTCACTGTCATAGATCCGCACGCCCAACTCCTGGAATCCGCGTGCCCAACGCTGAGCCCTGACTCCGACATTCTGAGACGAACATGGTTTCGGTGCTCGACCACTTCCATGACGTTCTTTATTCTTTGATGCACCTTCTTCCTACACCACCATACTGTAGGAAGTTCCCTGGTGATTGAGTGATGTTGTTCGACGATTGTGTTCGATTCCCCCCAACAAACATGTGTCTTTCATGTTCTTTCATGTTCGTTCACGTTCCACGCCAGGTGGTTTGCCAGAGGACGCCCAGCCGCAGGAGCTGCAGGAGGTCTTCGACTCAGTGGCAAACGTGGTTGAGGCGCCGTATCTGACTGGACTGCAGGGTATGGAGTGAAGCTGATGATATTTGGTGGATATCAGTTGACATGATCAATAATAGATCATCAGAAGACATGGGAAGACTATATAAAGTTACTAAAGTTAAAGAAGTCACCGCATTCTGGTGGTGGGATAGGACACCTGGATAAAGCCTGCATAACCAATGGGGGCCGATCCATTCTAGGCCATGCCCTTAGGCTAGACACCAGATTTCATTCGACACTCACGTGGTAAGGACAGTGAAGGTGGCAGGTGGACGTGATTTTAGTTACAATGACAAGCTGAGTTAGCTGAATGCAAAAGGTGGTGAGATTTGCAAGAGGCGGAAGTAGCCAGGAAATGAGATTTAATTGTGGGGATGCATTGTTTTGGGTAGCTGGGCTTAGTTTTTCTATATAATGTATTAATCTTATGCTGACTTTATACATATGGCATTGGAGGCCATGATTCCCTGGGCACTGGGAGGTGGAGATGCTGCCATCGAATGGAAGCGGCGCAGCTGCCCGAGTGTCGTTTCTGGATGCCAAGGAGTTGGAGAAGGGGCAGGTGCGGACAGGACAACTCCCCAAAAGCATGGCATCGCATGTTTTTGGGTCCTCAGTGTGCTGGAGCATATGGAGCATGGTAAAGAGAAAATAGTCTTCAAGCAACCCATGTTGTGCCCACTCTATATATAATTAGATGTGCTTAGATGTGTAGTGCCCACTCTGTATGTTACAATAATCATGATATGCACACGGTGGATGTGTCCCACCCAGCACAGCGCTGTCACCTGCCAGGGCTTCTTGCAGCAGGGTGCTTCTTTGCGGGGCGCCAGCTTACGCCTCCGGAGCCGCTCCCCGAGACGGAGGCGATTCGTCCCGAGACGTAGGCGAACCGGAGGCTCCGAGTAGTAAGGCCCGGAGCCCCGAACGTGGCGTTCTTGTTCCTGGAACCTGATTGGAACCTGATTGGAACTTGATTCACCAAATCCTTGTGCCCTTTCAAGGCAGGTGTCAAAGAGGGGAATTGATTCGATGAGTTCAGCAGATGAGCTGCGCAAAAAACATGTCGTTTTGAGTTTTGAGACCTCAGGACATGTGGGTCAGTAAACTCGTCCCAACTGTCCATGTTGATGAGCCTATTCCCTCACACCTCAAAGAGTTTGTTCCCAGTTGGGGTCTAACAAACCCTTGCTTTCTTGGGATTGTATATCAACTGTGTAGCAGATATAAGATGATAAAGATGGTGATGGTGCATTGCAAAGTTAAGACTTTTAAGCAGATGCACTCAGGGATTACGGTGATTTCGACTGTCGTACCTGGTGCTTTTTGGCGGAAGCCATACGCGGCTTTCAAGGGACTAGTCGTCGATTCCGTACATGCCACGTCTTTGACAAGTGTCTTTTGTAACATGTAAAGCCACTCATGTAAGGCCACTATAGGCCACCTTATCACCCACCCTCAGGTCTTAATCTCAATACTGTCAACACCTCATAAATTCTGCAAGAAGTATCCAGAAGAGACACCAAGGGGGCTCACAAGGCTTTCTCACCTACCTCTACTCGTTCGAGGCTCAATTCTCGGTTCAGCACTTTGCAGGTCTCAACTCAGCCGTCCGCACCTCATCGTGAAGAATTTGGTCTCTCCTGAGGAGGAGACCTTGCGAGACGCCTTCAGTGTGATGGGCAAGTTGCGGCTCGATATGGAAGGAGTTCCAGTTTTCAAGTCAAGCAGCTGACAAAGAGCACTCGAAAGACCACACTTCCTAAGAGACAGCAATAGCAATGCTGCTGCTTGAATGTCTCTCAGTTGCTTAGTTGCTTGAACCTTCGATAAGCAAAGGAATCGTTAGTGGCCTTGGGGATTCTTGGGGGCCTATATGGTATGTGTATCTCTATATATATGAGAATATAAATATATTATATACTGTATATATATATATATATATTTAAGTGTGGGTGTGACCCATTAAGACATATATGTGTATGACATATACACAAATGGCATTTATATTGTGATATATAATATATATATAGTTATATATGTAAGCATGATCATTCGGCTTTGGCTGGGACATATCGATCGAAGAACCCTGGGCCAACATCTTCCGACCTTGCCACGTTTCCTCATTGTTAGTTGTGAGCCAGCGCAATCTTCGAAACCACGCAGTTCCTGGTCAAGACCATCAAGACCTATTTTATATAAGACCCAATCATTGGCCTCAAATCCAAAGAATCCAATCCATCAAGGCCACCCTCCCCAAGCAAAGTCTCGACTAGAATCGAGCGCCCAATCCAAAAACACGAGGAAATACGGTAAAAAATGCTTCGCACACCTGAGGCGCCGAGTAAAGATGATCTTTGAGAAAGACTGGGGCGACTTCAAACGCTGTGCGTTTCTCGCCGCTTGGAGCGGATCGCCGCAGTTCTCTCGGTGATGAGCTGACCTTTGGTAGTTTTTGGTCACCAAAGAAATCATGGTTTCATATGGTTTCCACGTGTTTCCACAACAAACTTGTGAGGGTCCTGGAACCGGCCTGAAAAAAATTGAGTGTTTTAAGATGTTTTAAGTGTTTTACGATTTATGACTTTTTGCGGGTACAGTGGCTACAAAGGACCGACATCGATGATTGAAAGTCAGAGACCTCGTGCAAACAAGCTTCATCAACCTTCCAAAGAGGATGTCTTAGCAAACGCATATACAAAAACTTATAATGTAATATATAGGGAGTGCCTGATGGGCCAATGCACTTGGATGGGCCAAGAGATGTGAACAATGAATCCAGTGAAGAGTCCTGCCAGGTGAAACCTCTTTGGTGTAGCCGATCCCGGTCTGCGAATCGTGTAGCTGAGATGATGACACGAGTTGGTGAATGTAGAGGGACTGATGCCCTTCTAGATGTTTGTGATTGTGAATGCATATAGAGAATAGAGAAGGGATTCACCGCACCTTCACACAGGGTTGGTGTAGCGTGTTTCTAGCAAGGACTTGGTCTACCATGTAGCAGACATTGGACCCGCAACTCATCCGTGGCTCCTGTCAGGGTTATGGGGTGTACACGATGGGTTTTTTGTTATCTGTGAGCATTGATTGCCAGCGTTTGGGGGTGGCCTAGATGGCGGGGAATAAAAAGCATTGCTGTCAACTTGCAGAGCCCGGACTCCCCAAACCATGCCACAGGTGAAGGTTCCAAGGTAGAGGATTCTGTGTCTTTGGGTATTGATGGAAAGGGGCATATGACCCATTATGACCCCACTTACATGATACTCAACCGGTATCCCGACCGTTCTATGCGCCACCTGAGCTGGATATACTACCATCCAGAGTTTTGGTTGTTTTAGAGGTTCCTGTGCTCGTCTTGTTCGGGCGATCACTCGGCCAAGCGCCGATGGGAGAAATCCAGCTTGCAGGAATATGAGGACGCAGAGGTGGTAGAGGATGCGATCCAAGCTTTGAACAATAGCTCCTTGATGGGCGAGTGCATCAAGGTGGAGAGGCACGATGGAAGACGCGAACAAAAAGCAGGGCTAAGCAGGGCTAAGCAGGGCGAAGCAGGGTAGACGTGCACGGAGTATCACGGAGTTCCCCAAATACGCATCGAGTTGTGAACCTGAAATGGAACAAGCTGGGCTTCTTCAGATACCCGACCTCTCGGGGGTGTTCATGAGACCTCTCAAGCCCGCTTGGAATGTACAGTCGTCTGAGACGATTTGGGGATTGGAAGGTCGGAAAGGAGCGAAGCGTTGAGTTGGAAGGTCGGGTTACGTCCTTTTTTCGGGTTCGACACGCTGACTAGTTTGCTGAATTGGAATGATGTTTGAAAAGCTTTAAGGATAAAAAGAGGACGCTACTAGGGGCTCCTGGCCTTGCTACTAGGAGCAAGGATGCTACTAGGGCTTTTTTGCGAATGGAGGTATCGATCCTTGACACCTGAGCGAACACAGACCAGGTGGGCGAAGGGAGGTATCGCTCGTGGTGGGCGAATGGGGTTTCGGTGTGTGTGTGTGTGTGTGCGTGTCACCTCAAATCAAAGCCCAGCTGGGAGTGTAGGTGTTTGATCAGTTCTGTTGGCATGACTCCAGTTGTCTTGGCCTTGCATGTTCAGCTTGAATATTACAAGTCCAACAGCTGCTGAGGGTCCAGCGGAGGGCTATGGTTTTGCTATTTATTGTTTCGAATGGAAGATATAGAGTATAGATGAGCCGACGAGGGTGGAGATGCCCAAACTGGACAATGACAACCAACAAAGGAATACTGTACAAATGGAAAAAAGGGTACAGCAGAAAAGTGTAAAGGAGGTGTTTCAGGTCGGACACCAGAATGAGAGAGGGAGTATTGCTGGAAACCAGGATTTCCAAACAGACAGGGGCAATTAAGAGACTTCCCACGCGCCAAACGAGTGGCATGCGCTGACACTTTGATAAATATATATATATGTTTGATACACCTTATATTGAATCCATCCGAAGGAGCCCCTAATTCAGGTACTACTCCCACTGGCCTTCCTGGACCGTTAGGATTTTTTTGAAAGGCCTCCAAGAATAAGCGCCGCGAGCAATTTCTTTGGAGTATTGATCGTCACAGGAGCAGCGAGAGGCCCTCCGAGTGCTTTCGAACAGACCACAAATCCTGTAGCATATTAAAAATATCTATAAATATCCATTGGATGAGACTCCTTCTGTTCAGCAAGACTGCACAACCCCCGCAGGGTTTTGTTTTCTACATGCGCCCGCCACACAGAAAATAAGCAATCTTCCAAGAGAGTTCTGAGGCAGTTTCGATGTTATACTGTATAGTTTAGAAGTATTCAGGAAAGCGTGGCAGGGAATGTGGCAGGGCTATCAGCAGAAACGTCGAACCAGGACCAGGGGACTCAATTGATTCTCCGCCGGGCACCGCTTCAGAAGCCCTTCGCCACCAGCACAGAAGAGAAGTAAACGCAGGTGAGGGTGGGGCTGGGCTTCAGATGCAACGGAGGGTTGCCGCTCCAGGGGGGGGCACCTTTTGTTACGAAGAACCATGGTCAAGGGTCCAGGCCGAGGTGTTCACCATGTTTACACCACAAGTTTCAGAAACACATGGCGATGCGGCAGGGCTAAAGAATCTTGCAGCGAAAATGAACAACACGGGGTGTCTCAAAATGATTTTTAATGCCTCTTGATGAGAGGGCATCGTTTGTCAAGCTGACCCCTAATTACTGTATTCACTTCCACGTTTGATTTTGCAAAGACTACTCACATCAGCTCAGATTTTGCTGTTCACCCATGTGCTGAAAACCAGCATGATACCTTCCAGATATTTCCAGATGCTCCTGCATGAAGGAAGACCATAGAAGATCCTGGTCAGCTCATCCGTCGCTCTGTCGGCTCCTGCTCCAGGCGCCGGGGAGGAAAAGCCGACGTGGCGGAGCGCGCGCCACCGGGGGAATGGACGCCGCCGCCGGCGTGGCCGGTGGCACCCTATCCGCCGGCCGCGCCCTATCCAGTGGCGCCTCCGGGGAGGTCAGGAGACGGAAAGAGGGCTGGGGAAACATGGGCAGAGACTGCATGAGCGTGAGATTTTTCAGATATATGTCCATTTCGGATCTCATAAAGGGGGACCACGAAAAGCAGGTGAACATTCAATGAATGGAATGAACGCCTCCACTCTTCCAACCATGTACAGTGGCATTTGGTTGGACCCTTTGCGCGTGAAAATAACCTAACTCCGCCTTGGGATGCTCTTGACATTTGCTGTTGGCATTATTAGGGTCTCCTGGCATCGCTACTAGGAGCAAGGACGCTACTAGGGGCTCCTGGCCTTACTACTAGGAACAAGAAGCTACTAGAGGCTCCTAAAGGCTCTGAAGAATTTGTTAGCCGAAGGCCGACCAGCACCTGGTCTCGACTGCCTGGAGCGGCGCCTGGAGCGGCCCGCCCCAGGCAGGGTGCGTGAAGAGTTTTGTCACCTTGTCATGAGGCATCCTGCCAAAAATAGGTCGCTTCATCTACTGTTATTGTAATATGTTTAAATCAAAAGCAACAAATACATGTGTATTATATATATATACATATTCGGGCTATTTTGGCCATGTGCCAGTCGTTTGGAAGTCGGTATGAGTGCAATGGTCCGCAGATCCATGAAGAAGCGGGCACATCGGGTTGTTACATGTTTTTACTATCGAATCATACTATTGATGACCATCATTATTAACTTCTTATCTATAAGATTTTTACAATATTGAAATGAAAGAACTACAGCATTCATATATTGTCATGGAAAAATCTGATAAAAGTTTGGCGCTGGTTAGGACCAGTGTCCATGTTTGGAGCAAGTCTAGTGAGTCTAGTATTATACAGTCGTTGCAACCCTAACTTGCTGAACCAAAGCCTCAAGTCTACTCCCTCTCAACTTCCGCGCGCCCACGCCGCGCGCAGTATCAAGCCCAGCTGCGCAGCTCACTTGTGGGGACCCCAAGATGCCAAGCAGAAAGGTGAAAGGACACCGAATCACCATGGTGTGACGATTGATGTCAGAAACCTCCCCCCAGCCATTCTCACATAGTATGCTCAAAAGATCCAAAAAGGGGGGTTGGAAGTTGGGAGATGAGGACTCTTGTCCTACTAGCTTGGTCATGGTGGAACAGCAAAAATTGGCCAGAAGCTGCTTACAGTACTTAGAGGGAATCCTTGTGGCGCTGTCTTCAACCGGCCGAGACCGGGACCCGAGACCCGAGAGGTCCGTCGTCCGTCGTCCAATCGTCGTCGTCCACCAAGGCTCGAAGCACGACCGTCGGCCGTGGAGAAAAAGCGGTCGCGAGTCGTGCTTCGACCGGGTGGTTGAGGGGGATTTCCCTTGAGTATCCTTGAGTATATCATGCTTCAGTGGAATTCCTGGAGCAAATGGACTTGGTCCTGTGGCATTCAGTCCAACTATCACACTTGACGACTCTTTCGCAGTGACTAGCACGCGTTTCTACCCCCCTTTCGCGAGGCTGATGTTTGTGTTCGTTACTTTTTGTTTGGTCAAAACTAGAGACGGCAGGACTGCCGAAGGGTTGTGATACTGATCAACCTTCGAAGCACATACTTACTTACTTGCACCTTGTCATTCTTTGACTGAGCTAGTAGACATGTTGAATGGTTGGTAGGTTTTTTGAATTTTTGTCCATGCTCATCATATATATACAGGATTTCATGCCCTCACTTTGGCATCACAAATCACCCTGCCCTTGAGAAAGTGGAAGCTATGTGTATCGCAGTTGTTGTCCATCCATGTCACACCTGGTTGAAGGCATACTTGTGAGCTTCTGAGGGCCCTAAACCATTCTGTCTAAAGCTGTAGAAAACTCTCTCTAGATTATATACTCTTCTTGTTCGCCGAGGCTTGGTTTTTGACTTTGTAATCACTTTGCCGCATGCATCCGTGGATCAAGCCGCCCCGGCCGCCACCCTTGAAAAGGGCGCAGGCTCAGGGTCGCTCGTGAGGGCCGTTTAAAACGGCTCCTCGGTACCTACAGCACAGTGGAGGTAGCCCATGTACATCGTTGACCCATTTTGCCTGAACGTGTGTCCCAACAAAGTTATGACCTTTCAACCGGTTGGCAGATTCTTCTCTTCAAAGTTGTGTTTGGGTCTTGACATTTGTGTATTTGGCCCCAAAATTGTCGGTCATTTTCCCTCGCGAGGCTTGCTTTGAGCGTTGAATCATCCCGGTTTCAGGGGCCGGCACACAGCTCAACCGTTCAGCCCAAGTCAGCCATGGTGCTCGTAGAGGTGGAGAGAATCACAGGCGAGCAGCTGGAGTGCCAGATGGAAGAAGAGGACGCAGCTGGAAGAAGGGGGGATTTAACATCTTCAAAGCATTTGCACCATTGGGCCTACAAAAGGGTTTATATATAGTATTTCTATGTATGGCTATGTAGGTTTGTTATTGATGCTACTTGTGCAGTACATATGTCGTTTAGCTGCTATCTACCTATCCTATGAATTGGCTTTATTTGGTGTCGCCAGACTTCTGCAAGGGATATCTCACTTCAACAATGGAGAGCATGCATGACTGCACCCGTAGACGAGTCTAGTAGAGCAAGGACACCTTGGCAGGTTCCCCTTTCAAGCTTAACTTGCTGGCGACCACGAGGCGGATTTGAAATGATTTGACCTTTGCTTGATACCCTTTTGGGTGCAGCCACAAGGAAATCTTGTTGCCATTGTTTTTCTTTGGGGCCCTCGTAAAGATTAAAAGTCTATCTATCCCATGCTTACTTCAGAGTGCAATCAAAGCCACATCTCAGGCTTGGGCAGGCTTGTTCAGGAGCATGTCCAGTGATCTCAGTGTTGGTTTCAGGCAAGTCGCTGCAACGTTCCTTTCGGGTTTTTCACTCATGGGTTTACACGCCCCCAAGCCACAAGCGCCGTATTCTGTGGATCCAGGACACCATCCTGCGCCTCAAGCAGTCCCTCGAGCTTCTCGGGGGCGGACCACCCATGTGCAGCTCGAAGGTGTTTGGAGCATGGACTCCCAAGCAGAAGCCGACATGGAAGCCAGTGGTCCTTCCCTTTACCAACGCTGGTTGTCAGGTTTCACCTTTTCTTGAGGTTATACAAGTTATATATACATGCTTTCAGTTCCCGGCGCGCCCCTCCACCCATCCCTCAACAAGTCTTGGGCCATGTTTCACTGGTTCCAGCATAATTCCTGAGTTCCTGTAGGAATTGTTGGTTGCAATTGAATTTGCTAGTGCTCAAAAACTGTTGTTAGAAAGTGGCTCGGTTTGAGGATGGTTTGAGGGGGACTTCATTACTTCTAACTTGACATTACCTTCTGGGTGTTAGGGATTCTTGACTAGTCTAATGCAGACCCATGCGGATCTGTGTCAACAGAATGTGATGTCCTCAGGTCTTCCAGTACCTTCCAAACAGTTGAGGTTTCTTTCATGTTGAGACCGTACAAGCGAGTAGGTTAAAGATTGTTTAAACAAACTGACGCTGACCACACCACTTTCACAGGTGGTGTCCAGCCACACGACCTTTGTGTTTTCCTTCAAGCCGTCACGTCCTTGGAGGGCCGCCCTCTACACAGTAGTTGACCTGCAAAACAAAGCCGAAAGGCAAATACAAACATCCTGGATCCTGGAGGCCTTTGATGTTGGACAGGAGCAGCTTCCTGGAAGCTACAGCCCAAAAAACGTTTGTTGCTTCCCTTTTACTTGCTGATGACTTCGTTTGCGTCTGGGGGTGTTTACTAGAGCATCAGGGACGACGCGATGACTGTCAGGGAAACACTACTCTCCCCTCACAGAAGAGCTGAACTGTAAAGCTCGAAGATTGTGCGTCCTCTTACCACCCACGTTCCAGTTTAACCTACTTCCGAAGTAAACCCACTTATGTGCTATTAAGTATTAAATTATTACATCCATTAACATCATCATCTCTGAACATCTAGATCCAGACTTCTTTGTATTGATTGATGCTCAACGCGGGCAGCAGCCAAGGCCAACGGCTACTGATGCACAATGTGGAGGGTCACCAGGCGCAGCGTTTACTGCCGGTGATGGCCCAACAGCTGCAGGAGCTTGTAGACGCTGGGCGAATCTCCCATTTCAAGAGATGTGTGGTTTGAACTGCCTGGAAGCGCCAGTGCTTCCAAAGCAGCGCCGGTGAACCAGCGCCGCTCATCCTCGCTGAGGACCAGATTGCCCCTGGCCAATTGCAGCAGCTGAGTCGCAGAGCGCTGCTGGGACGGAGAAAAACATCCAGAGCAAAAAAATACTGTACTCGCTCAGGTAGCCTTCCCCAAGCAACAAGTCATAGGTCTATCAGTTGTCGTCTGACATGAAAATGAAAGGCTTGGAGTCGATCAACTACGGCTTGCATTACCTTTAAGAGCGTGGCTTGACACCATTTGACACCACAGGTGCCGGATTTGGCCGGAGGTGAAGGAAGGCAGAAGTAAAAATAGTATAATGGTGAGGCTTTTGCATGCAGCTGCTTTTGGGTAGTTGAGGGGTCGGGTACCACTTATTATTTACTGTACTTATTTCCTTCAACAGCCTTTACTGCATGAATGTGCTTGTTGGTCTATTCCTATGATTTGTCCGTGTTTTGACTGGACCTCGTGCTGCTAATTTCTACTCTGCCTCCCAGGAACACCAAGCAAGGCATCTCTGGAGAGATTCGCCTGTGGCTTTGCTTGAACTTATCAGCCATGTTTTCTGACCAGTGCTGCTTCATCCTTTGGATCAAGAAAATGACCAGCAGTTGTGCTACAGCAGCCCCAAAACCTTGCACAACAGGTTCACTTTCTGAATATGTGCCCCAGAACTGGGGCATCGAGATGCTCACATGGTTTGGGCGGTCTTGTGGGAGGCGGTCAAATATTTTACCATGTTTTGCCGCTGTGGCTCATCCTCCTCATCATCACCCGCTGGCCATGTGTTTTGGGATCGGCCCTGCCACATGCTCCGGCCCACCCAAAACAGAGAGGCCTTACTGTCAGGTGCCTGGAGACCAGCGCGCACTTGTTGGCCAGAAGCCCTCATTGGCTGCTTGGCCAGGTGTGTCGATGAAACTGGTTTTAGGATGTTTTAGGAACTCTGTTTGGCTTCAGGCCTTTGGCCAAGTGGAAGTGAGAGGATCCAAACTAAAGAAGTTAAATTAAGATATCCTAAGCACAGAAAGGGTTTTGGAAGAGGCCCATTTTTCTATTTATCAAATAGGTGTTAGCCTTAGACTTCTAGACCCTATTCTGAACTTCCACAAGCATTCTTTTTCAATCATGGCTTGCTGGTGAGGAGGATGGTTATCTAGAAGCAGTCCCCTTTCGGATGCCCAAACCCAGAGAAAGGGTACATAGTTTATAAAATGATGTTCTTCTTGAACAAACGCGTCTAATGCCAACATTAAAAAAAACAATATATAAACAGACATAAACAACAATAACATCAATAAACAACACACAAACATTGAGATCCTTCAAGTTGGTAATGTAACATGGTTTTGTGGTGTTTTGTGATGTTTTGTGCACGCATGTGCGCGCAATATAGGCAAAGGCACTGAACTCTCTCAGGCACTCGAAGGCCCAGCTTGGTCCGTGCAGATTCACTGGACTGTATCCACTTAGACATCCGCGAGCCACGCTGCCCAGCAAACATTCCATCTTCTGCCAGGCGGATCTCTTTGAGCTGCATCTCCAAGGTCCTCCGTATCAAAAGATGAGAGAATATGGCTTTATAGAAACAAATCTCTATGAAAGGCCGTGACGGACAGGGACCACAAGTCGCGCTATAGAAACAAATCTACCAGGTTTCCCGTGACAGAATATGAGATAATCTGAGCAATATCATGTTATAAACATGATGGTTTTACATGTTATAGAGAATTAATGCCTTGCAGATCTTTTTTTTATAGCACCTACTCAAATGTAATCTACCACCCCAATATGTATCAAGATGTATCAAGTAAGGGGGATCAAATCACCAAGACTGTTAAAATCATTCAATATCTATCCCATGATTACTAAACAACTGAGCAGCTGATGCCAGTTGAGACGGCGGGATCTGCGGCGCACCACCTCTGCTCTCTTAAGAAACCTCGAGTCCATGCCGGCTTCTCCACAACGTAGGTAGACGCAGAGTCCGAAAATGCCGCTCCACAAGTCTTTTCCTCCCACTGCCTCTCTCAGTGTGCCCGGCAGGCCATTTGTCTTGAAAGGCTTCGCTGTGGAATCTGCTGACAGTTTGGTCAGTTCCGGAAACTCTGGAAACTCACTGTCACATTCCTGTGGGGCCATGTAGGAATCCACCTGCACCGGGTCATCTTTGCATACTCCTCTGAAGCAATGTCCTCAATGTGAGTGAGAACATGTTCCAGCCCTTTCACCGAAGACTCATTTTGGAGCGCTTGCTGGTGCTCTGCCATGGTTTCCTCCAACAATGGGTCTTCCAACTCGTCTGACTCGTCTGGGTTGTCAAGAAGGAAGGTTTCAGCAGTCTCACAAGAATACATTCGTTGAAGGTCCTGTTCCGGAAGGCCACTGCATTTGGAAACCAGGTGGATGGCTGAAGTCAAAGCTGAAATAGCACATGTCTTCAACCTTGGCTGAGTCATACACAAACTGTTGATACATTGGGCTTGTAGATTACAATCTATTTAACAAGCAGGTGCTATAAAATGATCTACAAGGCATAGTTCTCTATAAAATGATAAAAACATATTAAACAGTCATGTTTTACAATAAAGTCATTGTGTTTTATAAAATGTAGCTGACGTCAAGAATCCCTACAGCAATCCATAAACTCTGTGTATAAGCAGTTTATAAACAATCAATTAAAGGTTGTTCAATTGACAACCATCACCAGATAGGGTTTATAAAATGTAGTTGGCAACCAACCCGTCCAGCAAATCAAAACATATTCCATTAATTCATTTCATAAAAGAACAAATAGACATAAATAGACTATCTTGATATATCCTGATCTATCACGATCTATCTTGATAAACTTTTGATAACTTTTGTAAACAGTCCACCCATGTCCACCAAATGTCTGTCAAAGGCAGCGACAAAACTGCAAACAAAGCGGCTGCTTTGTTGTCAGCGTGTCCTCCTGCGCAGGCTTGGTCTTATACTTTTTGGATTGTCGTGCCTTAGAACGGGCTACAAGGGCTGCAGCATTGAAGTATCCCCTGGCCGTCAGGTCACTGTTGCTGCTTTGTCCTCGAAGTTCTCCAAAGTAGTGCTCTATACGAGTCTCCGATAGCCCCTGCTCTTGCCGCCATGGTTGCCAACCGTCCGGCTTCGTTGCGGTCATGAGCACAACTATTCAGGCAATGCCTTGCAATGCCTGACGTGTTTGAGGAGCCATCTGAAGCTTGCCATGCCCCAAGCCCCCTTTCTTCTCTTGCTCAGTGGCGAGCAAAGCAAGCTCCACAAATCCAAGCACGCAAAGCCGCTGAGCGCTAACTCAGCCCGTTGTTCCAAGCTCAGTGCCTGGTGAAGCGCAGGTGCCTTACTCTGTCCGCTCTCTCCCACTGCAGGGCCAAATGAGGGTACGAAAGGAAAACTCCAACTTTTGTGTGCATGGGCTGACAGTAGGCGAGTGTAGAGCAGGTGGACATGCAAAGCTGGAGCAGATCACACTGTCAGATGACGAACGAGAGAGAGAGAGAGACGGAGAGAGAGGTGGACATGCCCAGCTGTTCGCCATGCATGTATTTGCGAGTTTCCCACACTTTGCACCCCTTAGATCCATCAGATGGGTCCTCGTCAGGTTCCCCCCCAATGAAAAAGCCATCCAACGCCCTGAACTGTCCGCAGCTGCAGCTGAGGACAGCTGCTGGTGAGAAAGCTTTCAAGATGGAGATGGCTGGGAGGCCTTTGGACACCAGCCTGCCCGAGTGCGTGAAGATGTGTTCCCAGCCCCAGAGCTTCATCGCGGCTCGGAGAGAGTGGGGCAACTCGGAGAGGGTGGGGTATACTAGTAGCAGGAATCCAGTCGGCACCTGAGAATCAGGTGACATGACACCTGAATCATGGCACCTTCAGGGCCCGGAGGGGCGCAAGAACCACTTTCTTGACTGCAAGTTGAGCACATATGGAACATGATGGAGCCTCGCAAAGGAAGACCTCATTTTCCTTCGCTGCATTGTAGTCCATTCCTTGCCAGGAGAGACAGGGCAAATCATTTTAGCCGCAGGAGATTCTTTGTGAATTAATGTGATATAATGTGATATATGTGTTAAGTCATTAATATAGTCATTGTTCATGGACAAGGTCACCTCACCACAATAGATGATCCCTAAGAGTAATCGAGTAAAGGCAGCACCTGAAGTCTTAAATCAGGGACTGCAGCACACTTGAGGCGGCCATGTCTGGCTTTGTGGAGGATGTGGCCAGGGGCTGGGTGCTCGAAGAGGAGATTCTGGAAGCGGAGCAATGCGTGGAAGTGAATTGGTCGCTGCAAGATTTGGATGGTGGTGAGTGAAAAGTGAAAAGTGACTATATATATAATCATATATTTCTTATATATATATATACATGTATGTATAAATATATATATATATATACATAGCACAGTGCACCTCAAAAACACCGTGGTTGACCCTTTAAAAAGAAGAGAATGGACTAGCAGTCTCAGACTAGCGTGACCTATCTCATGGTTTGGGGAGTTCGGATCCACCGCCTGGCAGCATCGCGAAGTTGAATGGCTGGAACGTGTGTGATCCGCGGACGGTGCAGATGTGGCAGGCTTCATTTGAGACAGGACGCATGGTGACCCACAGCTAAGCGCTGCAAGACCTTGTCCACCTGTAAGGTTGGTGGAGGGACCAGCCAAAAAAGGTGACGTTTTGAAGACAGCTTAGCATCTAACAAGGGCCATGGGGATCTTCAGGTCACCACCGACGACGGTCCTTTCGGATGCATCGGGGTCCCTTCCGTTGGCCCAGGTGATGTCCGGTCTGGAAGAGGCCGATAAAGACGGCCACTTGGTCTTGGGTGGTGGGTCGCAACCCTTATTTGAAGATGATTGCGACATGTTCCGACTTGACCAGATCTAGGTGGCTTCGGGATAAAGGTTCAGTGACTGCCATGTGTAAAACCGTTGCTTGGAGAAGTGGAGTTGCAACAGGTGGATTTGATCAAGGTTTTTCGTGACGGTCTGGCTAGCGGCTACCGCCTACACTCTCCGTCCAAATGAAACAGTGCTGCAGGCTTGGCAAAGCAACACTTTGCTGCGCCACGCAGTCTTGAGACAGCCTCCAAGCAAATCCCATTGATTGGTACTGATTGCACTTTTGACACCCACTTAGCAAAACGATGCAATGATGAAAAGCACTGAAATGCACTAGTATTTCATGTTAAAAGATATATTTTTTTTAATGTATCTATAGTTATATATAATATACATACGGGAAAGCAGCAATGCTTTGCGAGTGCTGCAAAGGCCAAAGAGCGAGCAGCATACGACACAACAGGAGGCCCTCACCTGCAATTTGGGAATGCCCATACAAGTTACTGTATACATGAGAACGAATTTGCTTTTTCCACACCGCCTTTGAATTGAAGAGTTGACGTTTCGTGGGTCGCTGGCCTCACCAGGCACAAGAAGGTCGCTGGATCCTGTAGTGTGCCGTATTCGGGATTGGACTATCCGAGCAATCCGCTGCTTGGAAGCCAATGCAAGCCACGTGAAATGAATTACAATTATGAGGCTTTCTGACAGGTTTGGCATGATGCCGCAATCACTTGAGACTACTGGAGATACCTTCGTATTGGCTTTGCATGAATTGCGTTGTGTGGTGCATCATGCTGGAGCCCTATCATTTGTTTGAGGCTATTATCGGGAATTTCGCCAGATGCAGGAAGGGGCGGTATCATTGGAAACTTGGATTTGGCAGATTCCGTTGGTGCATGATGATTCCTTTCAAACTGAAGACGGGGTCTCAAGGCGCTCATGTTTGAGAAACCCAAGATCATGACACCTCATTGAGCGTTGTTGTACCTTTCAATCTTGTCGGGCACCAACCTGCACTGCGGCCGAGCAAGAAGCCCCTCCTGGTGACACTGCTCGGCTTGAAGCGGCCTTTGTGTTTGAGGAACTCCTGGACCAAATCAACTTGGCTCTTTATGCTGAAGTGGCTGCGGTGGGTGGCTCCTCATTGAAAATATCTTTGTTGACCGATCTGGAGCCACTTGATTGAGATGCTTGCTTGGGGGAACACATTAGGGGCAGGTGTATGTAGATGAGTTGGGGGTTGTTCGGGAATCAAACACCAGTGGAAGATAGTGGCAGTTTGTTGAATTGGGAGGCGTGAAGTAAAGCAACGGCACAGTTACAACTGCTGCGGGCAGTGTTCCGCAGACCGCGTCGCTTGCCAAAACGTCTAGTAGTTGGAATGCTCGAGGATGGTGATAGTGATGCCAAAAGGGTCAGTTGTCATTGCAAAAGCATTGACTTCAGACAATGGACATGGGAAAGCGAGGGATCATATGCATTTTCTGACGAGGTCCTTTTCGAAGACCCAGCTCTTTGGAGATGGGGCGATTCTTTACAAAATGGGCGATTTGTTGGGAAAACACCGTGTTTTGTAGGGGCGAAGAGGGGGCCGATGGTCTGCTGCTTTCCGCCTCTTGGGCCGATGGTCGGCTGTTCCGGCCGGCCTCGGATCCACCGAGGCCGGCGTTGCAAGCGCTGGAGAAGGGCTCAGGTGACACGCTGCTGGGATGGTCACAGTATTCGAAAGCGCGCCCTCTATAGCTGATCTTCCTCCAAAATGACCAATGAGAGAAATGTTGGATCCTGAATCCCTGTGCAAATTTCCCTCTAAAGAATAGGACAGCCCGGGTTCGAGAGCGAATTGGAAGGGGGACGATCCTGATGAGTGAAAGGGATCCCCCTGGCAGGCACTACTTCGTCCAGTACTGTAGCCGTTCGCAGGCACCATGCTACATGCAGGCACCACTGTCCGTTCCAGCACTGCGGGCCGTGCTCGTTGATCTTTCAGGCATGCATTCCGGGCAGCATGCACCCAAATTCCAGAGAAAACTAAGTTGAATGTAGAACAATAATTTGATTATGGCAAGCCTCAAAGACAGGAGAACTTGGGATTGGCTCGCTCCGCATTGCCTAGCGAACCTAGAACCTGACATTTTGTCGGTCCTTGGATGAGAACCTGGCTCTCCAGGAAATACTGGAAAAGCCCTGGTTATTGTGTAAAACCTTAATTTTGATTGAACTGATCCCTTTCTCCATCTTCCATCACTTCATGATCTTGTCTCGCTCACCTCCATGAGGTCCGAAGCCATCCGGGCTTTGGGCGTCTTGGGCGCCAAGAGCCCCGAGAAGGCCTTGAAGCTCCTGGCAGCGCTGCTGGGTGAGAGGGAGGTCCTGGCGAACAGGGTTGTTTAGTGCCTGACGGTGAAGGAAGTTCATCTATCAACAGTGATCAACCAAAATGGGGCTATCAAATGCTATCAATTCATTTTGCAACCTGTGAACCCTTTGATGGGTTAATAGCGCATTTTGCGACTGGCCGATCGACGGCCTCTCAGGAAGTTGTCGCATCCAGCGACTGCGATGGAGGCGGAGGAGGTGGAAGGGCTCGGTCCGTGGGGAGAACGGCGGAAGGGCTCTCGGACTCCTCCAGTACTCTTCAGTGCCGCAGGAGCATGATTTGGGGATTTGCAGCGCTTGCGCTGTTGCTCGTTCTCGCTGTTCTCGTAGCATGCATCATGGTCAGAAAGGACCCACGTGGTTGAGGAGTTCATTCTTATCAAAGCGTCTCAAGTTTTGGAGGGGCTTCACAGGTGTGAAAAAAACGTAAACCCAAGTGTGCACACGATTTAGCGGCTGAAAACACCTGGAATCCCATTGGGTGTGCGGTGTGCATTATTCAAATGCAAATCCAAAGGCCCGGTTCTTTTTTCACCCCACCCATTGCTTGCACATCTCAGGCCATCACCTCTGCCTGGAAGCAAGGCAGGGAAACGAAGGAAGACGGTTGTCGTTGCATCAAATCGGATTTCGAGTCTCGGCAGTATGAGATCCCTTCAGCAGAGTTGCTTTATATAGGTTGGAGGTCATCGCTACTAGGTTGGAGTTGCTTTATATAATTTTATATACAGTTTTATCCAATAATCCAATATTCTTTCCTCTCATGTTGTTGTCGAACCTCAGTTACCTCCACCATCTACAGCTTAACAAGTGAAGATTTGTTCTAATGGCACTGCCACTGGAGGGTGTACTCAAGATGCTTGGTCAGGATATGCGACTGCCTCTTGTTTTTTTCATGCAGGTTGAGATCTAGGGAGTTTGTCCTGACTTATTTACTGCCCATTGGTCTAATTATGTAATGTCTGATTAATTGTTTCACATAATTGGGTAAAAAATATCTAGACGTTGTGTATATTCAAGTGTTGAAATGAAAGAAGCCCTGTATCAAAGAAAATAAATTGTATAATATTTGTGTCAGATTGTGTCATGTTGTATCGGACATTCCCTGGCCTGAAAATTTCCAGCCGCGGGTCCCAAAACAGACCTTCAAGTGGTTTTCAGCTTTGCCACTCTCCAGGTGACGATGCTGCGGTCACGTTGCTGCTGGACTCTCTCCCTGAGCTCCCCCACGGCACTCCGAACTGCCGCTCCAGCGCGGTGAGGGCCTTGCTCCATTTGGGGCCCAAGCACCAGTTGGTGCTGCACAGGAGAGGTTACACGGAGGGTGCCACACGGAACTTCACTGAAGAGTGTACCGGCGTCCCAGGTTCTTTGGGTCTCGAACCACCATTCTCCCTCCTTTGTGATCGATTTTAGTTGTATAGATTGGGTTGTTCATGTAGGTCAAGGTTTGCGTGCCAGCCACCACTGTCCACGACAAGAATGACTATGTATACAATTAATTACGTATGTATAATGTATATTTGTGAATTTTGTAGGACTGGCCTTCGCACTATGGTCACTATGGTGTGTAGGGCTCTTCATTGGTGGTGTTCACATCTTAGACCGGATCTACAGAAGGTCCAAGTGGCTAAGGCTTAGGATGCTTCGGTGCCCACTCAATCACCCACGGAACAGCGAAGCTTTTGGTGGAAGAACGCATGAACGGTCAATGAGTTCCATTCACGGTCCAAGAGCCTGGAGAGTTCGGTCGGCTCAGACCAACCCACGAGGGTGGAAACCAGTCACAAAACAACGACAGACTGTTTGTGCCGTGAACGCTCGGTGGGCATCACAGAGCAAATCATGTGGCTCTTTGCAACATTAGGAACAATAAGATACTAGGAACAAGTGCATCGCTTCTAGTAACAAGTGCCTTACTACTAGTAGTAACAATGTTTGCTATTAGATTCAAACAAGATGGAGCCCACGAACCCGAATGCAAACACGATCGAGAAGCTATATACATATGTCCAAATGACACTCTTGTAGGACACTCTTGTAGGACACTCTTGTGGGACACTCTTGTAGGAAACTCTTGTGGGTCACTCTTGTAGGACACTCTTGTGGAACACTCTTACAAGACACTCTTATGGGACACTCTCTTGTGAGACACTCTTGTAGGAAACTCTTGTGGGACACTCTTGTGTGACACTCTTGTAGGAAACTCTTGTGGGTCACTCTTGTGGGACACTCTCATAGGACACTCTTGTAGGACACTCCTTGTGGGACACTCTTGTCGGACATTCTTGTGGGACACTCTTATAGGACACTCTTGTGGGTCACTCTTATGGGACACTCTTGTCGGACATGCTTGTGGGACACTCTTGTGAGACACTCTTGCAGGACACTCTTGTGGAGCACTCTTGTGGGACACTCTTGTGGGACGCTCTTGTAGGTCACTCTTGTGGGACACTCTTGTAGGACACTCTTGTGTGACACTCTTGTGGGACACTCTTGTGGGACACTCTTGTAGGACACTCTTGTGAGACACTCTTGTAGGACACTCTTGTGGGACACTCTTGTGGGACACTCTTGTGGGACGCTCTTGTAGGACACTCTTGTGGGACACTTGTTGTGGGACACTCTTGTGGGACACTCTTGTAGGACACTCTTGGGGGACACTCTTGTAGGAAAATCTTATGGGACACTCTGTTGTGAGACACTCTTGTAGGAAACTCTTGTGGGACACTCTTGTAGGACACTCTTGCGGGACACTCTTATAGGACACTCTTGCGGGACACTCTTCTGGGACACTCTTGTAGGACACTCTTGTGGGACACTCTTGTAGGACACTCTTGTGGGACACTAGAAGCAGTCCTGCGAGCGTTTCGTACCAGACGTCCTCCAAAAGTCACGCTTCGAGGCTGCAAGACGAGCGTTTCGTACGAGACTTCCTCCAAAA